AGCTGTCAGAATGGACTACATCCAACATGGCGGCTCTGTTGCTGCCAGGCCTCAGTGTTGCAGCCACTGTAAAGGGCTGCTGGGAAACGGAGTCCGCATCATCAAGGAGCTCAAACAGGTTAGACACCGAGACTACTGTTAGACACAGTGCAACAAAGATGGGAGACAGGAAGTGACTCTGTGTGTGTGTGTGTGTGTGTGTGTGTGTGTGTGTGTGTGTGTGTGTGTGTGTGTGTGTGTGTGTGTGTGTGTGTGTGTGTCTGTGTGTGTGTGTGTGTGTGTGTGTGTGTGTGTGTGTCTCTGTGTGTGTGTGTGTGTGTGTCTCTGTGTGTGTGTCTCTGTGTGTGTGTCTCTGTGTGTGTGTGTCTGTGTGTGTGTGTGTGTGTGTGTGTCTGTGTGTGTGTGTGTGTGTGTGTGTGTGTGTGTGTGTCTCTGTGTGTGTGTGTGTGTGTGTCTCTGTGTGTGTGTGTGTGTGTGTGTGTGTGTGTGTGTCTCTGTGTGTGTGTGTCTCTGTGTGTGTGTGTGTGTGTGTGTCTCTGTGTGTGTGTCTCTCTGTGTCTCTGTGTGTGTGTGTGTGTGTGTGTGTGTGTGTGTGTGTGTGTGTGTGTGTGTGTCTCTGTGTGTGTGTGTGTGTGTGTGTGTGTGTGTGTGTGTCTCTGTGTGTGTGTGTGTGTGTGTGTTACAGGAGTCCAGTCCGGTGTTCTGCAGTCCCAGCTGCTCCTCCTTGTACACATCGGAGCTACAGAGCAGAACAGCAGGGAACCAGGTGAGAGACCAGCTCCGATTATTGGTTATTGATCGGGAGCGAACACTGGAGCCTACATTTCCCATAATGCAACCTATAGGAAGTGACATCATGGCGTGTGTTGTCCGTCCTCAGGCTGCCGACCCCCCCAGCAGAGTGCAGCACCAGTACACCAACAACATGTCCTCCATCGCCGTCCACTCCCTCCTCCTCACCCCCTCCTCACCGGCCCCCACCGCCTCCTCCCCGCCTCTCTCCTTCCCCCCCGCCTCCACCATCACCATGGAGACCAGGCCTCGCATGGACAGCCTCAAGGTGGGTGTGGCTACTGACTGAACGACCAGGAGCTGGGCGGTGGATTAGACGACTGACGGACTCTCTGATTGGTTCACAGGTGAAGGTGAAGTTAAAGCCCCGCCCCCGAGCTGTCCCAGGTGGAGAGGACTCGCTGTCGTCTCGCCACATGAAGAGGACGAAGAGTTGCCGCTGGAGACGCTGGAGCGTTAGCATCACCCTGAGCAGGTTAGCATGTTAGCATCACCCTGAGCAGGTTAGCATGTTAGCATCACCCTGAGCAGGTTAGCAGGTTAGCATCACCCTGAGCAGGTTAGCAGGTTAGCATCACCCTGAGCAGGTTAGCATGTTAGCATCACCCTGAGCAGGTTAGCATGTTAGCATCACCCTGAGCAGGTTAGCATGTTAGCATCACCCTGAGCAGGTTAGCATGTTAGCATCACCCTGAGCAGGTTAGCATGTTAGCATCAGAGTGAGCAGGTTAGCATGTTAGCATTGTTCTGTATGTCTCTTTTTACCCAGGGGCCCTTGCATTCCCAACGAGGCGGTTGCCATGCCAACGGAGGAGGAAGTGGATGTTCTGTTGAAGAAGTTGGGGGCGTGTCTTCGTCCTGACCCGCTACCCAAAGACCAGCGGAGGTGCTGCTTCTGTAACCAGCAGGGAGACGGACAGACGGACGGACCAGCCAGACTGCTGAACCTGGACCTGGATCTGTGGGTGAGTCTGCTGGGCTCCACTCGGGTCGTAGTCCGGACCAGGAGAGGAGACCAGTTTATAACCTGTCTGTCTGTCTGTCTGTCTGTCTGTCTGTCTGTCTGTCTCAGGTCCATCTGAACTGTGCTCTGTGGTCCAGCGAGGTGTACGAGACTCAGGCCGGCGCTCTGATCAACGTGGAGCTGGCTCTGAGACGAGGTCTGACTCTGCGCTGTGCTCACTGTCAGCAGACCGGAGCCACGAGCGGCTGCAACCGCCTCCGCTGCACCAACACCTACCACTTCACCTGCGCGCTGCATGCCCACTGCACCTTCTTCAAGGTAGGACGCTGCCGGGTCGTGTGGCGCTGCGAGCCGCAGGCGGGTCGAGGGACAGAACCTCACACTGACTGTCTGCTCTCTGTCCTCAGGATAAGACCATGCTCTGTCACCTGCACAAGCCCAGGACGGTCCCTCTCAGTGGGGACAGGTCCTCCAGCTGCTCCCCCTCCTCCACCCCGGGGCCGACCCCCGACCCCGTGGCGGTCTGTGACCCGTACGACTCCGAGCTGCGCTGCTTTGCCGTGTTCCGGCGGGTGTTTGTGCAGCGGGACGAGGCGCGGCAGATTGCCGCCGTGGTGCAGCGCGGCGAGCGGCAGCACACCTTCCGGGTCGGCAGCCTGCTGTTCCGGACCATCGGCAGGCTCCTCCCACAGCAGATGAACGCCTTCCACAACAAGGCCGCCATCTTCCCCATCGGTTACCACGCCAACCGCATTTACTGGAGCATGCGTCACAGCAGCAGGTACACCCCCGCCGACTCCCATGATGCTTTGCTAGATGAAATGTGATCTGATTGGTTCTGACTGACGGCTGCCCCCCCCCACAGACGCTGTAAGTACCTGTGCTCCATCGAGGAGCAGCAGGGTCAGCCGCTGTTCACTGTGAGGGTGGTGGAGAAAGGTTACGATGACCTCATACTGACCGGAACCACGCCCAAAGGTAAACATCACCTGTGACAGGAAGTACTCCGAGAATACTGCTCATCAATAACTCATTATTAACTCATCAATAACTCATTATTAACTCATTATTAACTCATCAATAACTCATCAATAACTCATTATTAACTCATTATTAACTCATTATTAACTCATCAATAACTCATCAATAACTCATTATTAACTCATTATTAACTCATCAATAACTCATTATTAACTCATCAATAACTCATCAATAACTCATTATTAACTCATTATTAACTCATCAATAACTCATTAATTAAATTCAATTCAATTTTATTTGTATAGCGCCAATTCATAACAGAAGTTATCTCAGGACACTTTTCAAATAGAGCAGGTCTAGACCGAACTCTTTAACATTAATTACAGAGACCCAACAGTACCACCATGAGCAAGACCTTGGAGACAAGGGCAAGGAAACACTGCCTGTTAAAAGGCAGAAACCTAGGACAGATCCTCCGGCTCTAGGTGGGTGGTCGTCTGTCTCGACCAGTTGGGGTGAGAGAGAGAGACAGACAGACAGACAGACAGGTGCACAGCAACAACAGTATTGGCAATGGCAATCTAGCAGGACCATGGCAGGAGGCTCCACCAGGATCGACAAGAACCTGCGAGACGAGAAAGCACAAGAACTCCGGGGAAGAAGTGAAGTTAGTAACATGCATTAATGGGACATGAATGAGTGCAGAAAGAGAGAGGAAGAGAGGAGCTCAGTGCACCATGGGAAATCCCCCGATAGTCTAGGCCTATAGCAGCATAACTAAGGGATGGTTCAGGACTCACTTGATAAGCCAATGCAGAGTAGCTAGTACAGGAGAGATGTGATCTCTTTTTCTAGTTCCTGTCAGTACTCGTGCTGCAGCGTTCTGAATTAATTGGAGCGTTTTAATGGACTTATTGGGGCAACCTGATAATAAAGAGTTGCAGTAATCCAGCCTTGAAGTAACAAATGCATGGATTAGTTTTTCTGCATCTGTCTGTGATAGTATGTGTCTAATTTTTGTAATATTACGTAAATGAAAGAAGGCAGTCCTAGAGGTCTGCTTCATGTGGGAGTTAAATGACAAATCCTGATCAAAGATAACTCCAAGATTCCTGACAGTGGTGCTAGAGGCCAAGTTAATGCCATCTAGAGTAACTATATCTTTAGACAGTGAGTCTCTAAGGTTTTTGGGGCCAAGAACAAGAATTTCGTTTTTTTCTGAGCTTAACATCAGAAAATTGCAGGTCATCCAGGATTTTATGTCCTTAAGACATGTTTGTAATTTAGATAATTGATTAATTTCATCGGGCTTGATTGATAGATATAACTGCGTATCATCTGCATAACAGTGAAAGTTAATGGAGTGATTCCTAATAATGTTGCCTAAAGGGAGCATATATAAAGTAAATAGTATTGGTCCAAGTACAGAACCTTGTGGAACTCCATGACTAACTGTAGTATTTATTGAAGATTCATCGTTAACATGTACAAACTGCGAGCGATCTGATAAATATGACTTAAACCAGCTTAGTGTGGTTCCTTTAATGCCAATTTGATGCTCAAGTCTCTGTAAAAGAATATTATGGTCAATGGTGTCAAATGCAGCACTAAGATCTAATAATACAAGTACAGAGACAAGTCCATTGTCAGAAGCAATCAGAAGGTCATTATTAACTTTAACCAGAGCTGTCTCTGTGCTATGATGAACTCCTGACTGAAAATCCTCAAATAAACTATTGTTATGTAGAAAGTCACACAACTGTTTGGCGACTACTTTCTCCAGAATCTTAGAGAGGAAGGGGAGGTTAGAAATCGGTCTATAGTTGGCTAAAACCCCTGGGTCAAGAGTGGGCTTTTTAAGAAGGGGTTTAATTACAGCTACTTTAAAGGACTGTGGTACATATCCTGATAATAAAGAAAGATTAATCATATCCAGTAAAGAAGTGCCAATTAAGGGAACAACTTCTTTAAGCAGCCTAGTTGGGATCGGGTCTAACAGACAGGTTGATGGCTTCGATGAAGAAATGATTGAAGTTAACTGATGAAGATCGATAGCAGAAAACAGTCTAAATATATATCTAAGTTTACATTAGAAAAAGTCCCTGAACTTGGAGAGCCACTGATAACTGTTGATGGCAGTTTGTGATTAATTTTCTCTCTAATAGTAATAATTTTATTATAGAAGAAGCTCATGAAGTCATTGCTACTTAAGTTTATGGGGATATGTGGCTCAATAGAGCTGTGACTCTCTGTCAGCCTGGCTACAGTGCTGAAGAGGAACCTAGGGTTGTTCTTATTTTCTTCTATTAGTGCTGAGTAATAGGCTCCTCTGGCATTACGGAGGGCCTTTCTATAAGTTTTAAGATTATCTTGCCAAATTGAGCGATATTCTGATAATTTGGAAGAGCACCATTTCCTTTCAGATTTCCTAGCTATTTGCTTTAACTGGCGGGTTTGGTGGTTATACCAAGGTGCTAGTCTCCTATGTTTTAATAATTTCCTTTTTATAGGAGCGATAGAGTCTAATGTTGATCGTAGTGAGCCTGTAGCACTATCGACAAGATTATCGATTTCAGAGGGACTAAAGTCGTTATAGGACTCTGTTAAATTCAGACATGGCATTGAATTAAACACTGAAGGAATCTCCTCCTTAAATTTAGCTACAGCACTGTCAGATAGACATCTGCTGTAGGAAGTTTTGCCTAATGGCTTATAATCTAATAATATGAATTCAAAAGTTATTAAATAATGGTCAGATAGGAAAGGATAAGACTATTAAATGTTCAATATCAATGCCATATGATAAAACGAGGTCAGAGTGTGATTAAAACAATGAGTTGGTTTATTTACACTGACCGAAGCCAATTGAGTCTATTAATGATATAAATGCATTACTAAGGCTGTCATTGTTGTCACTATAACAAATAGAACTGGCTCAATATCCTTATCTGATATTAATTAATTCACTAAAACAGCTTTAGACTTTAACTCATCAATAAGTCATTATTAACTTATCAATAACTCATCAATAACTCTATTAACTCATCATTGACTCATCAATACTTCATCAATACCTCATCATTAACTCATCAACTAATTATTAACTCATCAATAAGTCATCAATAAGTCATTATTAACTAATCAATAACTCAATATTAACTAACTCATCAATAACTCATTATTAACTAATCAATAACTCAGTATTACTAACTCATCAATAACTCATCATTAACTCATTATGAACTCATCAATAACTTAATATTAACTCATTATGAACTCATCAATAACTTAATATTAACTCATTATGAACTCATCAATAACTTAATATTAACTCATTATGAACTCATCAAGAACTTAATATTAACTCAATATTAACTCATCAATAACTCATCAATAACTCTTCATTAACTCATCAATAACTCTTCATTAACTCTTCATTAACTCATCAATAACTCTTCAATAACTCTTCATTAACTCTTCATTAACTCATCAATAACTCATCATTAACTCATTATGAACTCATCAATAACTTAATATTACCTCATTATGAACTCATCAATAACTTAATATTAACTCATTATGAACTCATCAATAACTTAATATTAACTCATTATGAACTCATCAAGAACTTAATATTAACTCAATATTAACTCATCAATAACTCATCAATAACTCTTCATTAACTCATCAATAACTCATCATTAACTCATTATGAACTCATCAATAACTTAATATTACCTCATTATGAACTCATCAATAACTTAATATTAACTCATTATGAACTCATCAATAACTTAATATTAACTCATTATGAACTCATCAATAACTTAATATTAACTCAATATTAACTCATCAATAACTCATCAATAACTCTTCATTAACTCATCAATAACTCATCATTAACTCATTATGAACTCATCAATAACTTAATATTACCTCATTATGAACTCATCAATAACTTAATATTAACTCATTATGAACTCATCAATAACTTAATATTAACTCATTATGAACTCATCAAGAACTCAATATTAACTCAATATTAACTCATCAATAACTCATCAATAACTCATCAATAACTCTTCATTAACTCTTCATTAACTCTTCATTAACTCTTCATTAACTCATCAATAACTCTTCATTAACTCTTCATTAACTCATCAATAACTCATCAATAACTCATCAATAACTCATCATTAACTCATCATTAACTCATCAATAACTCTTCATTAACTCTTCATTAACTCTTCATTAACTCTTCATTAACTCATCAATAACTCATTATTAACTCATTATTAACTCATCAATAACTCTTCATTAACTCATCATTAACTCATCAATAACTCATCAATAACTCTTCATTAACTCTTCATTAACTCTTCATTAACTCTTCATTAACTCATCAATAACTCTTCATTAACTCTTCATTAACTCATCATTAACTCTTCATTAACTCTTCATTAACTCATTATTAACTCATTATTAACTCATTATTAACTCATTATTAACTCATTATTAACTCATCAATAACTCATCAATAACTCATCAATAACTCATCATTAACTCATCATTAACTCATCAATAACTCTTCAATAACTCTTCATTAACTCTTCATTAACTCTTCATTAACTCATCAATAACTCTTCATTAACTCTTCATTAACTCATCAATAACTCATCAATAACTCTTCATTAACTCATCATTAACTCTTCATTAACTCTTCATTAACTCATCAATAACTCTTCATTAACTCATCAATAACTCTTCATTAACTCATCAATAACTCTTCATTAACTCTTCATTAACTCTTCATTAACTCTTCATTAACTCTTCATTAACTCATCAATAACTCTTCATTAACTCTTCATTAACTCTTCATTAACTCTTCATTAACTCATCAATAACTCATCAATAACTCTTCATTAACTTGAATAACATGTAATTAGTACCTTAGTTACAGTAACCCTGCTGTCTGATTTCAAACACGTTCATATTCCTCCAAAATGTAAGAATTAATGTCTGTCTGTCTCTCTCTCTGCCTGTCTGTCTGTCCAGCTGTGTGGGACCAGATACTGGAGCCTGTCTCACAGTTGAGGTCGTCCACTGGGACTCTGAAGCTTTTCCCAGTTTACCTGAAAGGAGAAGATCTGTTCGGATTGACCACGTCTGCAGTGACCAGGATCATCGAGTCTGTAGGTCACACACACACACACACACACACACATTAAATACAGACTCACACTGACCCTGTGTGTGTGTGTGTGTGTGTGTGTGTGTGTGTGTGTGTGTGTGTGTGTGTGTGTGTGTGTAGCTGCCAGGTGTGGAGAGCTGTGAGCGTTACACCTTCCGTTATGGCAGGAATCCTCTGATGGAGTGGCCTCTGGCCTTCAACCCGTCGGGTTCGGCCCGCTCTGAACCCAAAGCCTACCAGGCCAAAAGGTAACACACACACACACACACACACACACACACACACACACAGTAACACACACTGTAACGCTGTTTCTCTCGCTGTCAGACCCAACCTGTTGACCAGCGTCGCTCCCAGGTGTCAGGGCTCGGTGGGCTCCATCGTGGGCCTCGTGCCCGGTGTCATCTCTCTGTCTCCGGGCGAGTCGATAGCCGGAGCTCACCAGGGCCGCCACTCCAAGTCGTCCCAGTACCGACGCATGAAGGCCGAGTGGAAGACCAACGTGTACCTGGCCCGCTCTCGCATCCAGGTGAGACACCCGGAGCACAGACCAGACCCGCTGCTGCTGCCTGCAGGACTGGTGACTGATTTATGTGTGTGTGTGTGTGTGTGTGTGTGTGTGTGCGTGCAGGGTCTGGGTCTGTACGCTGCCAGAGACATTGAGAAATGCACCATGGTCATTGAGTACATCGGCACCATCATCAGGAGCGAAGTGGCCAATCGTAAGGAGAGGCTGTACGAGTCCCAGGTAACACAGACAGAGAGCTTATACTGATTAACACACGTTAAACCTTCACCTCTGACCCCCAACCTTAACCTGTGTGTGTGTGTGTGTGTGTGTGTGTGTGTGTGTGTAGAACCGCGGTGTGTACATGTTCCGGATCGATAACGACTTTGTGATCGACGCCACAATCACCGGAGGACCGGCCAGGTGAGACCACCTCAGACCTCTTTACTCATCTACACATGGGAACGCTCCACTCTGTTGGTTGTTTGTTTGTTTGTTTGTTTGTTTGTTTGTTTGTTTGTGTTTGCTGTGTGTAGCTGAACCCGCCCTCTGTCTGTGATTGACAGGTACATCAACCACTCGTGTTCTCCCAACTGTATCACAGAGGTGGTCAGTGTGGAGAAAGAGAACAAGATCATCATCAGCTCCTGCAGACGCATCCAGAGAGGAGAGGAGGTACTGTCTGTCTGTCTGTCTGTCTGTCTGTCTGTCTGTCTGTCACAACGACCACGCCCCCTTCTGGGTGAAAGCAGCTGTATAAGTTCCTAAAAGTTTTACACATCAAACAATAAAAAACTTTATTTACTTTCTTGATGGACAGACAGTCAGTGAGTGTGTCTGTGTCCAACTCTTCCTCACAGGTTAGTTAATGACAGACAGTCAGTGAGTGTGTCTGTGTCCAACTCTTCCTCACAGGTTAGTTAATGACAGACAGTCAGTGAGTGTGTGTGTGTCCAACTCTTCCTCACAGGTTAGTTAATGACAGACAGTCAGTGAGTGTGTCTGTGTCCAACTCTTCCTCACAGGTTAGTTAATGACAGACAGTCAGTGAGTGTGTCTGTGTCCAACTCTTCCTCACAGGTTAGTTAATGATGTTACTGAGTCAATGTGAGCAGATTGTGTCTGTAGATTGAAGAGAATCAGAGTCTCACTGATGGTGGAAATAAAGGTTTTACTTCCTTAAAACAGCCGTTTTTTGAATGGAGTTTGGTGTGACAGTGTGGAGCAGAGGGGATTTGAAGGCAAACACAAACATGGAGATTACTCTGATACTCCTCATACTCCAACCCTATTGGCTGCAACAGACAGCAACTTCCTGCTCAGATAAAATCAACCTTCCTCTGATCTGTCTCACCCCCACTGACCTGTCTGTCTGTCTCTCTCTCTCTCTCAGCTGTCTTACGACTACAAGTTTGACCTGGAGGACGATCAGCATAAGATCCCCTGTCACTGTGGAGCCGTCAACTGCCGCAAATGGATGAACTGACACACACACACACACACACACACACACAGGCAGCTCGCTCTCTCTCTCTGTTGGTGCTGAAACTGGATGTCGATCGCCCGTCACTCTGTGGGCGGAGCTACGCTTCATATCAGAAGTCACAATAAGAATAATAATAAAGCTGATTGGGGGCGGGGTTATAATATGGGGCAGGTGAGGGGGCGGGGCTTATGTCGAGGCTGGTCCTCTGTGTGTATATTGGCTGTAAATGACCACAGATGTAAATGTGAAATAACAGAATGTCGTCGTCCTCCAACAAGGTTCATTAAGTTGCACTAAAACACCAGAAAACTACAAAAACAGAGAAATCCCCAGAGAAACATTCTTCCTCTTCCTCCTCCTCCTCCTTCTGCGTTTTGTTAATTTCCTGTAAAATAAGAGATTTGTTTCTTTTTGTATTTATTACTGAATGAAGATATTTTCTGAATCCACGGTGAGTTCGAGGTCCGGAGACGCAGCGTGTAAATATCTGTATCATAAATTTAAAAGCAGACAAAGAGTTTAGAGTTCACTCCACCGAGAGCTACCTTAACATCCTCATCCTCACCTTCATCGCCTGCCGACCGCAGCGTTCTTCTGTTCTCCGGCTCCGCTTCCTGTCCCGGCGCTGGAGGCGCTGCGTTCTGATTGGATGAAGACGAACTGCTTCCTGGGAGTCGGGCGGGTTTCACTGCGGCCTTCATCTGACTTGAGTGTCTTTGTGTTTGTGTCACCCAGAGTTTTGGCTGCAGGCGTCTGTTTTTAGGTTGTTTTTCACTCTGTGGAGTCGAGTCCTGCTGTACATACGAGCTTTTATCAGGACTCTGCTGACCTGTACAGTTAGACGACATAAAGCCTTGTTTTTGTTTTTTATTATTGGACGTAAACAGAGTGTGATGATGATGATGATGATGATGATGATGATGTTTGTTTGTTTGTTTTTTGGGGGAAAATGTGGAATCTGATTTAGAATCATTTACAGAAAATAAAATATTTTACATCTTGAAGAAACAACACTTTTTATTTGTGTGTGTGTGTGTGTGTGCACTAGCCAACCTATCTAACAGGGAACTTGAGTGCGTAACGCACCAACTAACAGGGGACTGAGATACTCACAGGGGACTTTTTTTTGGGTCCTCTCTTTGTCATATTTAAGATCAACCTAAAATCATGTGAAATGCACTCTCGTGAACTTTTTACAATTTTGGCCAACAGGGGACTTAAAGGTGTGTGAGTGTTTAATCCATATTTGGCCTTGACTCTGCAGGCTGGAGCAAGGATTTCAATGACCCATTCACACCTTCAGGGTGTGAATGGCTTAAGCCCCAGGCTGTCTTTCAGACTGTAGAGGGGCGATTACAAAGGCTATAGTGAAGAAAGGATACAGGATTTCTTTTAGTTTTTGTAAAATATATATATAGGCTCACCTTCAGTGGATGTTCCCAAGTATCAAAATTGAAATAGTATTACCATAAAGGCCTGTCCAAAAGATAAGAGACTTTATTGATCCCACACTGGGGAAATTCACAAAAAGGAGTCAACGGGAATAATAAGTATTTTTAGAAAAATAAAACAACCAGGAAAAAATGAGTAATAAAGTGGTCAGCAGTAAGATCCTTTTCGTTTTAGTTTTGGTTGACACTTGGACTGTATAGAGTAACAGGGGTCCCCTGTTGAATGATATGGAACATTATCTACATCTAAAACATTCATCTACCACAGCCGGGTTCGAATGGCGATGCAGAAGTGAAGATCAAAGACAGACACATAAGTTACTGTGTGTGTGTGTGTGATTAAATGTTACTCCTTCAGTATTAAAAGGCAGCAGATGGTGCAGCAGTTACTATAGTTACAGTTTTGTATATTTAAAAGAATGAAAGATCATCAGTTTGTCACAATGACACTTTTCACTTTTATTAAAGCAGGAAAAGATTAAACATTACAGAAGTTAAAAGTGTTTCATTTAAACTAACCCAGGTTTCCAGCAGAATAAAGCCTGAAGGTGTAATCAGGTACAGGGGCTGTGTCTCATTCCGCATACTTCCGTTCATTTACCGCTCAGTTCACAGCATGTGGTAACTACGTCGCCTCCGACGCCAACGCAGGTTAGGGTAGCGAGGTAGCATTATATGTAATGTTACGCTAATTAACTCGCCAAATGATTATGTCGGGCTTCAGTCAGTGAGGACATGTAAGTAATGCATTAGACGATAGTAAAACGTTTCGTATTACCGCTGTTACTTACATTTATACGATAGAGTTCACATTTATAACGTGCTCGTCCCAATGGTCCCTCCCCTTCCGCTTTGTAGTCAAGATGGCGTCCGTTCAGTGCGAGTAGGGTCCATCATTCCAAATTGAATTGTTTGACCGTTTTTAGGGGGTCATCCGGGTACTTTCAGTGTACTGACTTTTTGTGTTAACTACACTATATACTTAAAACTAAGTGTTTGAAGTGTGCAAGTCGGCGCAATGAGATACAGCCACATTATATAATAGTCAGATATAATCAGTGAAACTGAGGCAGAAGATTGCACTGTGCTGCCCCCAGAGGCCGACCGCAGTAACTACAGAATAACAGCTTCAGACTGTCCAAATGTGTTTGATGTAGAACAGCAGTTATGTGCTTATTAAATATTCTCTAAATAATTTTAATGGCTTAAAAATCATAAGCAATTATTTGACCTCTGCCCCATAAACAGCAGATCCTGCACTCAGACTGGCTTTAAATCTGTTTATGTAATACAAAGTGCAGTAAGTACAGTCTCAGTATCGTCTGCCTGACTACATCTAAATGTCTTTTTACATTAAATCTGTACAGTAAGAAGTTCAAATAAAGAATCCAACAACAGTCACAATGTTGGCTGTATTGTCGTATTTTGTGTTGATATTTAATCAGACATTTATAGTCAGCGTGAACTCATTGTTTGACCGATCTGAGCGCTGTTGGAAACGATGGTCCTTGTGCTGGTGTCTCCTCCCTCCTGGTGAGAAGCCCCCGCTGCCTCCTTTCTACAGCCTACACAGGACAACAGAGAACATCAGTGCTGGGTTCAAAATGTTACTAAAAGTCTAAAAGTGTTTAAAAGCACTCAATATGCCGAATTCTCCATTTCAGAAGAATTCTTCTGATATTATTGAAGCCTTCATGTGTTTGTAGCTCAAATGTTGCAGCTGATAAAGCTGGAGCTCATTTTAGGGAACTCATGGGTCACTTTTGCCCCGGAGATCAATAAAGTTGTATCTTTACTTTTAATATCATAAATTATTTTTTTGATATTTTGTTTTATTAATTTAAATTTTCAAGGTTACAAAAGGTATGAATTCATTGTAGAGGAGTAAAAAGTGCAATTTGCCTCTAAAGTAACAGAAAATGTAATTTCAAATTTAAACTCCAGTAAAGTACAAGTACCTCAATACTCGAGTAAATGTACTTTCTTTCCACCACTGTTGGAGCTCCCATTTATAACGTTTGCATTTACACACATCAATCACAATCATATGCATATTGCTAATAATGAATGATTACGTGCTGCTTAATAAGCAAATATGACTTTTCTGATAGTAAGAATACGACTCAGTAACCTTCAATAATGCTGCATGGACACATTTTACAACCTTTGGGGCCCATTGGAATTTCTTTACAGCTAATACATAGAGACGCACTGTAGTATTAGTATTCATAGCATGAACACCTTGTTAAGGCTGAAATACTTGAATACTTTGGGAAACTTCACAGATTTGGCTGCATTCATGCTTTGGATGGAGCTAAAAACAGCACATAGAACCGAATAGAGACTTGAGCATCAAATTGGCATTAAAGGAACCGCACTAAGCTGGTTTAAGTCATATTTATCAGATCGTTCGCAGTTTGTACATGTTAACGATGAATCTTCAATAAACACTAAAGTTAGTCATGGAGTTCCACAAGGTTCTGTACTTGGACCAATTCTATACACTAGAATTTTAGAGAGGAATGGGAGGTTAGAAATGAGTCTATAGTTGGTTCCTTTAATGCCAATTTGATGCTCAAGTCTCTGTAAAAGAATATCATGGTCAATGGTGTCAAATGCAGCACTAAGATCTAATAATACAAGTACAGAGACAAGTCCATTGTCAGAAGCAATCAGAAGGTCATTATTAACTTTAACCAGAGCTGTCTCTGTGCTATGATGAACTCTAAATCCTGACTGAAAATCCTCAAATAAACTATTGTTATGTAGAAAGTCACACAACTCTTTGGCGACTACTTTCTCCAGAATCTTAGAGAGGAAGGGGAGGTTAGAAATCGGTCTATAGTTGGCTAAAACCCCTGGGTCAAGAGTGGACTTTTTAAGAAGGGGTTTAATTACAGCTACTTTAAAGGACTGTGGTACATATCCTGATAATAAAGAAGGATTAATCATACTGCATAAAAAGGAAGCGTATCATAAATTACTTGAAGCAGCACCAGATTGATATAGCTGTACTGCAGGAAACCCACCTGAATGATACAGAGCATGTTAAGTTAAAGCAAGGGGGTTATAACCAGGTGTTGTTTCCTTCCTATACCACACGAGCTAGAGGATTGGCCATATCAATTAATAAAAAAAAAAATCCCTTTCTGATTGATGTCCACCTACAAAGACATCGGAGGGCGATGGGTTATTGTTCAAGGCTCTATTCTCTCCCAATCCATCACTCTAGTAAACATATATGCGCCCAATTATGATGAGCCCCAGTTTTTCCACAACATTTTTTTCAACCTAACAAGCCCTCCCCGTGAAACTTTTATTGGGGGGGGGATTTCAATCTAGTACTCGACCCTATCCTAGACAGGTCTTCAGCCAAGCAAACAACTCTAACACAAGCGGCAAAAGCACTGAAAACTGAGCTCTGAAACTTTAGCCTCTGACATATATACATATAGACATATACCTAACCTGGGAATATTCTTTTTACTCCCCAATCCACGACAGCTACTCAAGAATTGATCTCTTCCTGGTTCCCTTAATTAAAGCTCATACAATTCCCCCATGTGAATATTTAGCAAGAACTATTTCTGACCACTCAGGGCTTCTGATCCCAATCCCTTCCACTGAGTCTTCTAGTTCTCTTAAAAGATGGGGTTTCAACTCTCATTACTCAACGATCCTGAATTTACTGAGTTTGTCAACAAACAATTAGACCTTTTTTTTGAGACAAATTCAAACTCACCTCATGGTGCTGTGACGTGCTACGGTAAGCTGATGACTCATTTCCGGTTTACTTCCTGCTCTGTGTACACTGTTTGGTGCTGTAGCTCTGTCAGTGAACGCTAAATATACATTAGTTTTACTCGTTACAGCGGTTATTTACCCGCTTAACATTTAAACGTAGACTAGTTCTACTTAAACACTTGGAGTTTCTCCCTCTTTTAGGGACTTTTCACTACTTTCAAAGTTTTTCATACACGCTAGTTTCATTAGCATTAGCAGTTAGCTATGGCTTCTCCCTCTCCCTCTCCTCTGTCCTGCTCAGTGTGTCAGATGTTCAGTTATTCCTCTGCCTCCTTTAAAGATAATGGTACCTGTATTAAGTGTAGTTTATTTACTGCGCTGGAGGCGAGGCTTAGTGAGTTAGAGGAACGGTACCGCACCACTGAGATATCTTTAGCCGCTATAGTTAGCCAGCCCCCGGTAGCCGGTGCGGTCCGACCGAAGGTTGCTTCTGCTAGATCTGTAGATCCCCCGGTAGTTCCTCCGGTAGTTCCCCCGGTAGTTCCCCCGGTAGTTCCCCCGGTAGTTCCTCCGGTAGTTCCTCCGGTAGTTCCCCTGGTAGTTCTCCGATAGTTCCCGAGCAGCCGGGAAGACAGGGAGGCTGGGTGACTGAGCAAAGGAAGACTAGAACGCCGAAGCCCACAGGTCACCACCAACCGCTTCATGTTTCTAATACATTGTCCCCACTCAGCGATACACCCGCTGAGGAACCAACTCTGGTTATTGGCAGCTCCATAGTCAGAAACGTGAAGTTAGTGAAGCCAGCGGCCATAGTTAAATGTATCCCTGGGGCCAGAGCGGGCGACACTGAATCAAATTTAAAACTGCTGGCTAAAGGTAAACGTAAATACAGTAAGATTGTTATCCACGTCGGCGGTAATGACACCCGTTTACGCCAATCGGAGGTCACTAAGATTAATGTGGAGTCGGTGTGTAATTATGCTAAAACTATGTCGGACTCCGTAGTTTTCTCTGGACCCCTCCCCAATGTGACCAGTGATGACATGTATAGCCGCATGTCGTCATTCCACCGCTGGCTGTCGAGGTGGTGTCCAGCAAACGATGTGGGCTTCATTGATAACAGGAAGCCTTTTTGGGGAAAACCTGGTCTGATTAGGAGAGACGGCATCCATCCCACTTTGGATGGAGCGGCTCTCTTATCTAGAAATATGGTGAAGTTTATCTCTAAAACCTAACAGTCCAGAGTTAGGACCAGGAAGCAGAGCTGCTGTCTTACACACTCCTCTGCGCTTTCTTTAGAACAGTCACCCACCCAAAACCCCATAGAGACTGTGTCTGTCCCCCGACCACCTAAATTATTTAAAGAAATAAAAACAAGAGGAGTTCAACATAAAAATCTAATAAAAATTAAAACTAACTCCTCAGTAGCACAAAATAAGAGAATGAAATGTGGGCTGTTAAATATCAGGTCTCTGTCCTCTAAAGCTGTTTTAGTGAATGAATTAATATCAGATTATGATATTGATTTACTTTGTCTAACTGAGACCTGGTTGTCCCACGAGGAGTATGTTAGCCTAAATGAATCCACCCCCCCCCAGTCATATTAATACTCACATTCCTCGAGGCACAGGCCGAGGAGGTGGAGTAGCAGCCATACATGATTTGAGCGTTTTAATGGACCCTAAACCTAAACTAAATTATAATTCATTTGAAAGCCTTGTTCTTAGTCTTTCTCACCCAAACTGGAAAACACTGCAGCCAGTTCTATTTGTTATAGTGTACCGCGCTCCTGGACCGTACTCTGATTTTATATCTGAATTCTCAGAGTTTTTATCAAGTTTAGTCCTTAAATCAGATAAAGTAATTATTGTAGGTGATTTTAATATTCATGTGGATGTTAACAATGACAGCCTTAGTAATGCATTAAATCCTTAATAGACTCAATTGGCTTCTGTCAGAGTGTAAATAAACCAACTCATTGTTTTAATCACACTCTTGACCTTGTTTTATCATTTGGCATTGATATTGAACATTTAATAGTCTTCCCACATAATCCTTTCCTATCTGACCATTATTTAATAACTTTTGAATTCATATTATTAGATTATAAGCCATTAGGCAAAACTTCCTACAGCAGATGTCTATCTGACAGTGCTGTAGCTAAATTTAAGGAGGAGATTCCTTCAGTGTTTAATTCAATGCCATGTCTGAATTTAACAGAGTCCTATAACAACTTTAGTCCCTCTGAAATTGATAATCTTGTTGATAGTGCTACAGGCTCACTACGATCAACATTAGACTCTATTGCTCCTATAAAAAGGAAATTATTAAAACATAGGAGACTAGCACCGTGGTACAACCACCAAACCCGCCAGTTAAAACAAATAGCTAGAAAATCTGAAAGGAAATGGCGCTCTTCCAAATTATCAGAATATCGCTCAATTTGGCAAGATAATCTTAAAACTTATAGAAAGGCCCTCCATAATGCCAGAGGAGCATATTACTCAGCACTAATAGAAAAAAATAAGAATTAAAGCTGCAAGCAGCGTTGGGCGGGACCTCGCACCCGGCGCTCGTCGGGGCACGCCGCAAACGCGTCACGTGCGGTAGGGGTTCGCCGAGGCCCCGCCACGTGCCGTCGTAACAAGCGCGGACGGCAACGCGAATACGTCACGTAAAACTGCTCCAAATCAGCTCCGTATCGCCACGCAGCGCTTCCTTCCTGTTGCCAGTATGCTGTGCTTTCACTTTATCTGAATCTTGTCACGTAGACAAGTTCATGGCGGGACAGTAATACGTAGGCTGATGTTATGAGGACGCGTTCAGGGCGAGACTGTTACAGAATATATGAAGTTTATTGGAAATTGGACATTGCACACTGAAGTTACGAGTACCGTTTCATGGAAAATGGTCTGAATTCGACAAGGGGTCAGTGGCACGCGGTTTGACGTACAGTCACAAATAGCTCAATTCTTCATGTACACTTTGTTTTTATAAGACTGTCCAATTATAGCGGTTTCCCACTATGCTCCACGAACAATACTACCTAGGAAATATGGTTTGTAGATGTGGCTAGTGGGAGTGGAGGGGTGTTTGTGTTTCATCACTTTGAAAAAAAAGACCACAGAATTCAAAATGTCCAACTTTGACGAGACACCTGGGACACGCCCTTCAACGTACAGTCATAAATAGCACAACTTGTAATCAGCAAGATTATTCAAGAGTACTGTCAAGTTTTGAAGCAGATCTGATCAATTCTCAAGGAGTTTGTTTGTTCAAATACAGGACCACGGGCTTCAAAATGGCCAACTTTGACGGCAGGCCACGGACACGCCCTTCAACGTACAGTCACAAAATGAAATGCGTTCATTCAGCACCATGTTGTGACTGTACTGCCCAATTTTGAAGAAGATCCGTTAGAACGTGTAGGAGCAGATCATTCAAATAGAAGCCCTGAAAGGCCAAAATGACATCACAGTGTGACATTTGTTCAAAATGGCCAACTTTGAGGGCACACCACAGACACGCCCTTCAACGTACAGTCACAAAATATAATGCGTTCATTCAGCACCATGTTGTGACTGGACTGCCCAATTTTGAAGAAGATCCGATAGAAGCTGTAGGAGGGCATTATTCAAATAGAAGCCCTGAAATGCAAAAATGACATCACAGTGTGACATTTGTTCTAAATGGCCAACTTTGAGGGCACGCCACGGACACGCCCTTCAACGTACAGTCACCAAATATAATGCGTTCATTCAGCACCATGTTTTGACTGTACTGACCAATTTTGAAGCAGATCCGATAAATTCCCTAGGATCAGTTAGTTCACAAAGAAGCCCAAAAGGTCAAAATGACCACAAAATGGCCGCCAAAAGTGCAAATTTTAAATGAAAATAGCCGACTTCCTGTGGGATTTGAGGTATGGGTCCAAGAGGCTTTTTTGTACGCCCCGGCACATTATACATGCCTATTGAGTTTCGTACATGTCGGTAAAACGTGGCGCCGGGGCTGATGTATTTTTATTCTGTAGGGGGCGCTACAAGCACGAGAAACCCGATTTTTGGTATGTTAGCTTCAGGCACCACTCTACACGTGCTCTGTGAATTTCATATTCATAACTATGACAGTATCCGCACAGTGATTTACCCTGCCACCAGAGTGCCACCTAGTGGCGTGATTTTTTTTCCTTTTTAGGGGAGCCTCAGGGAGCCATGGGGAAGCAGCGTACCAAGTTTCATCTTAATCACACATACCGTTGTAGAGCTATAAACTCCTTCATTTTAAAGAGCGCCACCTTGTGGTGATGACCTGAAATTGTGCACGATGCCTAAGGAAGACATGGGGAACTATGGACCCAAGGTTGGTGTAAATCAGACATACCAACGTGGAGAAATACCCCACTTCCTTTTTTGACGAAAAATCAACAGGAAGTGCTAATTTTATAACTTCCTTATTTTTTAAAATATCAAAATTCTTCAAATTACTTTTGTTGTCAGGACGGTCCACAGATGCTATGTGCAAAATTTCGTGCGAATCGGACAAAGTGTGTAGGATGAACACCAAAAAGTGATTTATGGACATTTTGCGCTCTAGAAAAAAAAAAATCTAGGCGGAAGTGGGCGTGGCCTATATGGGGAGGTTCAGCTCCATTCACCGAACGCGTGGATATAAGGTTTTTGAATGTGAGACAAACTATGCGGGAGTTATTAGCCTTTCAAAATCGGCCGAAACAGCGCCACCTAGTGGCCTACCTACTGGCTGATCTGCATGTGACGCATGGAATCTCTAAGTTTAATGAGGCTTGACAAATCTGCCAAATAAAATTGAGAGTTCGTCAATGCACGGGGCTGGAAAACGCAGTTGAAGTTTACTAGAAATAATAATAATAAACATAGGAAAAACAATATGGACCTTCCAGTTCATACTGGCTCGGTCCCTAATAACCCTAGGTTCCTCTTCAGCACTGTAGCCAGGCTGACAGAGAGTCACAGCTCTATTGAGCCACATATCCCCATACACTTAAGTAAATGACTTCATGAGCTTCTTCTATAATAAAATTATTACTATTAGAGAGAAAATGAATCACCAACTGCCATCAACAGTTATCAGTGGCTCTCCAAGTTCAGGGACTTTTGCTAATGTAAACTTAGATATATATTTAGACTGTTTTTCTGCTATCGATCTTCATCAGTTAACTTCAATCATTTCTTCATCGAAGCCATCAACCTGTCTATTAGACCCGATCCCAACTAGGCTGCTTAAAGAAGTTGTTCCCTTAATTGGCACTTCTTTACTGGATATGATTAATCTTTCTTTATTATCAGGATATGTACCACAGTCCTTTAAAGTAGCTGTAATTAAACCCCTTCTTCAAAAGCCCACTCTTGACCCAGGGGTTTTAGCCAACTATAGACCGATTTCTAACCTCCCCTTCCTCTCTAAGATTCTGGAGAAAGTAGTCGCCAAAGAGTTGTGTGACTTTCTACATAACAATAGTTTATTTGAGGATTTTCAGTCAGGATTTAGAGTTCATCACAGCACAGAGACAGCTCTGATTAAAGTTAATAATGACCTTCTGATTGCTTCTGACAATGGACTTGTCTCTGTACTTGTATTATTAGATCTTAGTGCTGCATTTGACACCATTGACCATAATATTCTTTTACAGAGACTTGAGCATCAAATTGGCATTAAAGGAACTGCACTAAGCTGGTTTAAGTCATATTTATCAGATCGTTCACAGTTTGTACATGTTAACGATGAATCTTCAATAAATACTACAGTTAGTCATGGAGTTCCACAAGGTTCTGTACTTGGACCAATACTATTTACTTTATATATGCTCCCTTTAGGCAACATTATTAGGAATCACTCCATTAACTTTCACTGTTATGCAGATGATACGCAGTTATATCTATCGATCAAGCCCGATGAAATTAATCAATTATCTAAATTACAAACATGTCTTAAGGACATAAAATCCTGGATGAGCTGCAATTTTCTGATGTTAAGCTCAGAAAAAAACGAAATTCTTGTTCTTGGCCCCAAAAACCTTAGAGACTCACTGTCTAAAGATATAGTTACTCTAGATGGCATTAACTTGGCCTCTAGCACCACTGTCAGGAATCTTGGAGTTATCTTTGATCAGGATTTGTCTTTTAACTCCCACATGAAGCAGACCTCTAGGACTGCCTTCTTTCATTTACGTAATATTAAAAAAATTAGACACATACTATCACAGACAGATGCAGAAAAACTAATCCATGCATTTATTAACTCAAGGCTGGATTACTGCAACTCTTTATTATCAGGTTGCCCCAATAAGTCCATTAACGCGCTCCAATTAATTCAGATCGCTGCAGCACGAGTACTGACAGGAACTAGAAAAAAGATCACATCTCTCCTGTACTAGCTTCTCTACATTGGCTCCCTGTAAAATTTAGTACAGAATGGTGCACTGAGCTCCTCTCTTCCTCTCTCTTTCTGCACTCATTCATGTCCCATTAATGCATGTTACTAACTTCACTTCTTCCCCGGAGTTCTTGTGCTTTCTCGTCTTGCAGGTTCTTGTGGATCTCTCTCTCTCTCTCTCTCTCTCTCTCTCTCTCTCTCCCCCCCCCAACTGGTCGAGACAGACGACCACCCACCTAGAGCCGAAGGATCTGTCCTAGGTTTCTGCCTTTTAACAGGCAGTGTTTCCTTGCCCTTGTCTCCAAGGTCTTGCTCATGGTGGTACTGTTGGGTCTCTGTAAATAATGTTATAAAGGAGTTCGGTCTAGACCTACTCTATTTGAAAAGTGTCCTGAGATAACTTCTGTTATGAATTGGCGCTATGCAAATAAAATTTTATTGAATTATCAGGCTGACCCAATAAGTCCAATAAAACTCTCCAATTAATTCAGAACGCTGCAGCACAAGTACTTACAGGAACTCGGAAAAGAGATCACATCTCTCTTGTACTAGCTTCCCCGAGGCGCACTGGGCCTCTCTGACCATGTCACTGTCCACCTGAGTCCTACATACAGGCAGAAATTAAAGCTCTGTAAACCTGTTGTGAGGACATCGAAGCAGTAGACCAGTGAAGCTGCGGAGGATCTTCAGACATGTTTGAAACAACAACAAAAAGAAACAACAAAAGTACTGGAGGAACCCTGGTTCACAGCAATCTGAAAACTGTTCATGTAGTTTTGCTGCAGACTACGACAGATTAATTGATCACCCAAACCCATCTACTGACCTCAGAGTTTCCAGTCTAAACTTTGGACTCCCAGCAGACAGCAGCTTCACTCCTGAATCCTGCAGGTTGTTGTTCCTCAGGTCCAGCTCTCTCAGATGGGAGGGGTTGGACTTCAGAGCTGAGACCAGATAATCACAGCTGATCTCTGACAAACTGCAGCGACTCAATCTGAATAAAGAATAAAAGAGTTAGCGATAGTGGTGCACTTTATTAATGCCTTGGCTACTAAATGTCTTTTGAGTAACACTTAATTCTAACCCGTCATTAAAAGTGTGTATAAACACTTAATACTATTTGATAAATCTACAAGCCTGTGGATGTTTGTGAGTTGGTTGGCCTTAAAATTATGGGCTTTACAGTCGATATAGAGAACAGGCTTTGCCATTAAGTTAATCAGCGTGAACCACAATGTTGTGACTGATAGCATGTTTACTGAACCTGTAGAAATGAATGTTAGTGAAGATTATCATTCATCAAAATGGTGTCTGACCTCAGAGTCTCCAGTCTACAGTGTGGACTCTCCAGAAAACCACACAGCAGCTTCACTCCTGAATCCTGCAGCCCGTTGTAACTCAGGTCCAGCTCTCTCAGATGGGAGGGGTTGGACTTCAGAGCTGAGACCAGATAATCACAGCTGATCTCTGACAACCTGCAGCGACTCAATCTGAATAAAGAATATAACAGGTAGCGTTGGTGGTGCACTTTATTAATGCCTTGGCTAGTAAATGTCTTTTGAGTAACACTTAATTCTAACCCCTCATTAAAAGTGTGTATAAACACAATACTATTTGATAAAACTAAAAGCCTGCAGATGTTTGGGTGATGGTTGTCTTAATTTGTCATTTATTAGGGGGGTTATATTGTAGTGGATTGACATGTTGTCTACTTTGGTTAGTAGTTACTTTAAGTATGGATATGTCATAATTCAATGGATTTTATAATTAGAGAACAGGCTTTGCAATTAAGTTAACCAGTGTGAATCACAATTACTGACCAGTTGTGACTGGTAGTGAGTATTTTCATTTGTGAAAATGGTGTCTAACCTCAGAGTCTCCAGTCTATAGTGTGGACTCTCCACAAAACCACACAGCAGCTTCACTCCTGAATCCTGCAGGTTGTTGGCACTCAGGTCGAGCTCTCTCAGATGGGAGGGGTTGGACTTCAGAGCTGAGACCAGTGCAGCAGAGCCTTCATGTGAGACCAGACAACTTGACAGCCTAGAGGAAGAGGAAGGTTAACATACAAACCAATGTTGACGTGTAAGCTAAGTTTCATATTGGGGGAGGGTCTTCTACCTCAGAGTCTCCAGTCTACAGTGTGGACTCTCCAGTCCAGCACACAGCAGCTTCACTCCTGAATCCTTCAGCTTGTTGTCACTCAGGTCCAGCTCTCTCAGATGGGAGGGGTTGGACTTCAGAGCTGAGACCAGATAATCACAGCTGATCTCTGACAAACTGCAGCGACTCAATCTTAAAAACAAACACAGCATGTACATTAAAATCTGCTCATAATCCAGTTACATATTTTCAGGTCTTAGATCTGCAATTCAACACTACTATTAAAACTACCAATTAAAGTGTATACCTTTTATTAACAGAATGTCTCGATTATTTTATTACTTGGCACTAGCATAATGTCAGTCTCAATCTGACAGACAACAAAAATGTCACAATAATTGAAATGTAAACAACAACAAAATAGCTCATTAACTTCCATCTGACCTCAGAGTCTCTAGTCTATAGTTTGGATTATTCAGTCCAGCCGACAGGAGCTTCACTCCTGAATCCTGCAGGTTGTTGTCACTCAGGTCCAGCTCTCTCAGATGGGAGGGGTTGGACTTCAGAGCTGAGAGCAGATAATCACAGCTGATCTCTGACAACCTGCAGTTCCTCAATCTGAATATTGAACACAGTATATGATTATAAAAGAAAACATTCCTAGTAGAGCTGTATGTTTGTAGCTTGTGTATTTAAGCTGAACTGTCACAGTACGAGGGTCACAGTTCAGCGCACACAGTCCACACAGACTACACAGAATGTTGATTGATAATAATGCAGAACCAACATTTACAAACATAAATTCTTCTACATGAACGTGCTAGGATTAGCACAACAAGCTGATTGGTGTGGGAGTCAGTCACACTATGGCGAGTGCAAAGTTGTTTGGGAACAATTCCAGTTCCAGGTCAACTTAACCCAACTCACTCACTTACACCACGTAGGGATGTCACGATACCAGAAATATATTAGTCAATCCCAAGAACTGGGAACTCTCTTCTTTTGCCCCCGATCTTATTGTGCAATCTGCTGATAGAGTCCTGATCAAATACTTATATTTTCCTTAATAATATAGGTGAATAGCTCTGCATTGCAGGAAGAAAAGAAAACCCTACAACCAAAGTGTTCCTTAATCTTTAAAAAATATATATAATATATTAATATGAATATAGCCCATTATATCTACATATCTATCCATAAAGCAAGAAATCTCTGTCTGTCTGTGTGTGGCTCAAATATCTCTGCAGATCAGGATCAGACTGACCTGAGAGTTTCAACATGGCTGCTGTGTGGTTTAAGGGTGTGCAACGTCAGCTTTGTTTGGACTATAAAGATACCGTTAATAAATTATTTCATAAATGATTTCCGAATTCCGCTAGCATTGTCAACCATAGCCACCGTAGCCACGTGTGCACCAGAGCCAATCACTGCAGAGCCCGTGTTGAAGGTGTTTCCCAGTTGTCAATCTAAACCCGCGGACACTTTATAATCATATGGATGCTGTTATAATGTGTAGTGATTGAGATCCTGACCCACCAAACATCCTGGAAAGTGACGAAATTACGTTTTTCACTCTAAATTACACAATTAGTACATAATAATCACCAGCAGTAAACTGACTCCCTCACTCGCAAGACGAAGAATGTTTTAACACTCCGTGAGTTTTTCGCCGGATGCTGGATCTGGATCTGGATCTGGATCTGGATCTGGATCTCTCTCTCTCTCTCTCCTAAATAATATGTCCTAAATGTCCCTGACGTCCCACCTTCGAACACAACCTCATTTGGCCATCCATGAAAAAGCTACTTAACCTCACACTTTTCTATAGCAATACATACCTCCTACGGGCACTGCACTAGTTATACTAAATAACAAATAAACAGACAACTAACAAACTCTCTCTGTAATCTCTTTTTTATCTTTTCTAGAGAGAATTTCCATTTTTAAAGTATCCAGCAGAGTTTGTTTCTTCACTGCAGCTTTTACCAGAGTTACCTCAATGAACAGTATTCTGAGAACTGATTGCAGTAGTGTGGTGAGTGTGCAGCCTCACACAAAGTTTTGCGAGTAAATCACCCGTAGTACGTTTCTTCTTCCTGTGGAATTTTATAGCCAACTAGAGTATTTGTAAGCATATATGCTGCACCGTCAGGTCTAGAAGAATTGCATCCTCTGCACCTATGGTACTGTAGAAAAACGAGTACCATCAAGTTTTCAAAATTTTCCAACATCCCTACTCCTACAAACCAAATTATGCAACTGTACACCCATAACTGATCATTTTTCCTTTGTTGAATACATGTTCTGAAATGTCACAGTATTTAGAAGTCAATAATGCCCTTTGACCTCAGAGTCTCCAGCTCGGAGTCTGAACTCCCTAGTTCGGCAGACAGCAGATTCACTCCTGAGTCCTGCAGCTGGTTTTCACTTAGATCCAGCTCTTTCAGATGGAAGGGGTTGGACTTCAGAGCTGAGGCCAAAAAAATACAGCAGCTCTCTGGCAGTTCACATCTCTCAAGCCTGAAATTGGAGGATAAATACCAAAAAAGGAAGTGGTCACAGCTATATACTCATAATAAAGAATTATGACGAAATCATCGTGAAAGACATATTGACCTCAGAGTCTCCAGCCTACAATGTAGACTCTTCAACCCAGCAGACAGCAGCTTCACTCCTGAGTAATGCAGATAGTTTCCACCTAGATCCAGCTCTCTCAGATGAGAGGGGTTGGACTTCAGAGCCGAGGCCAGGAGTTCACAGTGAGTGTCTGAGAGTCCACAGCCAGAAAGTCTGAAGTAACAAATATAATGCAAGATCAAAGTTAACAAAGCTTTGAGGATGATTGAACACATTACTATTTACAAATGATGATAAAATAATAATACTGTCACATCAAAGATATGATCCTTGATTTAAACAATACACTCTCTATATCAACAAAAATGACAACTCGTGTCACTAAATTCATGCCAATATTTTTCAAAGTCAAGTATCATTTGTTGTATTTTGTCAAATCCAACTCAAGAGTTCACACATGCTTCCTCTGAAAGAATGCAAGACAGAGAGAGATTCAACATGGCAGCGCACTACTAGACACGGAAGCATTCGCTGCAGCACGAGTACTGACAGGAACTAGGAAAAGAGATCACATCTCTCCTGTACTAGCTTCTCTGCACTGGCTCCCTGTAAAATGTAGAATAGAATTTAAAATCCTCCTCCTCACCTATAAAGCTCTTCATGGTCAGGCCCCTTCATATCTTAAAGAGCTCATAGTACCCTATTACCCCTCTAGAACACTACGTTCTCTGAATGCTGGGCTACTTGTGGTTCCTATAGTCTCTAAAAGTAGAACAGGAGCCAGAGCCTTCAGTTACCAAGCTCCTCTCCTGTGGAACCAGCTTCCAGTTGTGGTTCGGGAGGCAGACACCCTCACCACATTCAAGAGTAGGCTTAAGACATTCCTCTTTGATAAAGCTTATAGTTAGGGCTGGATCAGGTGAGTCCTTAACTATCCCTTAGTTATGCTGCTATAGGCCTAGACTATCGGGGGATTTCCCATGGTGCACTGAGCTCCTCTCTTCCCCTCCCTCACTTTCTGCACTCATTCATGTTCCATTAATGCATGTTACTAACTTCACTTCTTCCCCCGAGTTATTGCCGTTGCTGTGAATCACTCACTCACTCACTCACTGGTCGAGACAGACGACCACCCACCTAGAGCCGAAGGATCTGTCCTAGGTTTCTGCCTTTTAACAGGCAGTTTTTCCTTGCCCTTGTCGCCAAGTGCTTGCTTGCTCATGGTTGTACTGTTTGGTCTAGACCTGCTCTATTTGAAAAGTGTCCTGAGATAACTTTTGTTATGAATTGGCGCTATACAAATATAATTGAATTGAATTCAAGATTAAACAATAATTAGAATTCACAGTAATAACCCGAACAGGGCACCACTTTGCTATTCCTCAAGCGGATTACAAATACTCAGCCTGGCTTCATTTATTAACACGTCAACTGTCAATTGGAAGAAAGCTGACTCATCCACAGGACAGACAATCTTTCCACCAACAACAGTGAGGTCAGTGTATTCATTCCATCTACGAAAAACTTAATGTCCTTGGTTTATTACACCATGAAATAAAGACCTGTGCTCTACCCTCGAGTTCACGCACTAATAAATCGTAACACTCCAAAACAATAACACTGAAACCACAGCAGGAACTGCCTCAAAGGGAGTTAACAACTCTCTGGATTTCACTGACTTTACTCCAGGGAACCACCAAGGTAGCACTGAGAGGAAAAATCATATCAAATTCATCTGACGAGAAGAATAACTTTACCTTGAATGTAATTATAATGATTTCGGTCTGGGGATTGAACTAATGGACTTCCAGTCACAAGCTCTGTTTATACATTGGTCTACTATCATGCCTGTCTGTTGTGGTGCAAATGTGGGCAGGAGAGGGCAGTAAGGGAACAGAATGAGGGGCAGGGTCAGAGTAACGACTTCACCTGTGTCTATCATATGTGCAAAAAACTTAAATTACCAACAAAAAAAAAGTGACTGAAACTCAGGGAATAAACCGTCAAAGAAAAAAAACAAACAAACTTCCCATTGTAAATTTACAACTACACACTATGTCATACCTTTGCTGTTTTTATGGTTAAAAGTGGTGTTTGGTCGTATAATATTCCTAATAACAAGTACTCCAATGTCTCTGGATCATTGAGTCGATTCAAGCCAGTTTCCATTAAATGCAGCATGTTTCTGAAGTTTAAAAAAATAATTAATATTATATTATATATAATCGTGATTTCAATTTTGACCCAAATGATCGTGATTATGATTTTTTCCATAATCGAGCAGCCCTAAGTCACATATTGGGTTGGATTGTGCTCCCTGATACCTGCTTCAAAAAACTGTGACATAGTGACAGTAATGTTGAATAATGATATCAGTCAATGATATCAATCATATCTGCACTCACCGACCCTTTCTGCAGTTCCTCACTGCTGGAATCAGTCTCTGTCGTCCCTCCACTGACGTTCTGTACTTCTTCAGGTCCAACTCATCCAGAACCTCCTCTGACATCTGCAGCATGTAGGCCAGAGCAGAGCAGTGGATCACAGAGAGTTCCTTCTCTGATCTGTTCTCTGACTTCAGGAGCTCTTGGATCTCCTGATGGACTGAGTGGTCATTCATCTCCATCAGACAGTGGAAGATGTTGATGCTTCTGTCAGGAGAGATTTTGTGGGTGTTCATTTCCTTCAGGTTGTTGATGGCTCTCTGGATGGTTTCTGGACTGTTGTCTGTCTGACCCAACAGGCCTCCTAAGAGTCTCTGGTTGGACTCCAGAGAGAGGCCATGAAGGAAGCGGACAAACAGGTCCAGGTGGCCATTTTTACTTTTGAGAGATTTCTCCATGGCACATCTCAGGAAGACATCCAGGGTTGAGTAATTGTCATTAACGCAGTCTTCATCAACATCCTTATAACATTCATCATCACTGATGTCATCAACATCATCATCATCATCATCCAGGGATGAATCACTGTCTTCATTGTCCCAGTATTTCCCAAGGAAACCCTCCAGTGCTTTGGTGATCCTGTTGGTGTAACAGTGGAACATGTAGACTGCAGCCAGAAACTCCTGAATGCTCAGATGAACGAAGCAGTAGACTGTTTTCTGGAAGATCACACTCTCTCTTTTGAAGATCTCTGTACAAACTCCTGAGTACACCGAGGCCTCTGTGACATCAAGACCACACTGCTCCAGGTCTTCTTGGTAGAACATGATGTTTCCTTTCTCCAGTTGTTCAAACGCCAGCCTCCCCAGCTTCAGGAGAACTTCCCTGTCAGCCTTTGTCAGCCCCTGTGGACTCTTCTTATGTCCCTCATCATACTTCTGCTTCTTCCTCTTTGTCTGAACCAGCAGGAAGTGTGAGTACATGTCAGTCAGGGTCTTGGGCAGCTCTCCTCTCTGGTCTGTAGTCAACATGTGGTCCAGAACTGTAGCAGTGATCCAGCAGAAGACTGGGATTAGACACATGATGTGGAGGCTCCTGGAGGTCTTGATGTGTGAGATGATTCTGTTGGACAGATCTTCATCACTTACTCTCCTCCTAAAGTACTCCTCCTTCTGGGCGTCAGTGAAGCCTCGTACTTCTGTTAACCTGTCGACACATTCAGGAGGGATCTGATTGGCTGCTGCAGGTCTGGAAGTTATCCAGACGAGAGCCGAGGGAAGCAGATGCCCCTTGATGAGGTTTGTCAACAGCACGTTGACTGAAGACTTCTGTGTGACGTCAGACACAACCTCATTGTTGTGGAAATCCAGTGAAAGTCTGCTTTCATCCAGGCCATCAAAGATCAACAAAAGTTTACAGACAGCGAGCTGCTCTGCTGTGGCCTTCTGTAATGTTGGATGGAAAACATGGAGCAGCCTGAGAAGACTGTACTGCTCATATTTGATCAGGTTCAGCTCCCTGAATGAAAGCAGAATCACCAGACTGACATCTTTGTTGTTCAAGCCCTCAGCCCAGTCCAGAGTAAACTTCTGCACTGAGAAGGTTTTTCCAACGCCAGCGACGCCGTTCGTCAGAACCACTCTGATGTGTCTCTGTTGGTCAGGTGAGGCTTTAAAGATCTCGTGGCACTTGATTGGAGTCTCATGGAGGATCTTCTTGGAAGCTGTCTCAAGCTGCCTCACCTCATGTTGGGTATTAACCTCTTCACTCTGTCCCTCTGTGATGTAGAGCTCAGTGTAGATCCTATTTAGAGGGGTTCTGCTTCCTGGTTCAGTCACATGTTCACATTTCCTCCTCAGACTGATCTTGTGTTCATCTAAAACCTCCTGCAGACCAAGGTCCACTGTAAGACAATAAAACAGGTCTAAATTATAAATAGTGTTTGGTGAATGGAAGGAGGGAGATTTTTTTAGATGCAGCAAAACTTTAAAATACCGCGATGAACCATATGTTATTGTTACAACAGAAGCAAAATACAGTTTTCAGACATCAGCAGACAGATGTTCAGTCTTACTTTGTACAGTGCTGGGCTGACTAGCTGTCTGCAGTCCAGCTCTTGTTCCAGATCTTTCTCCACACTGGGGACAGGAGGAGTCTCCTGATGAAGCAGACTGGTCCCAGTATGAGGTGATGCACTGTCTGCAGAACCAGTGTCCACAGCTGGTAGAGACTGGATCCTTCAGGATGTCCTGACACAAAGAACAGCAGGACAGCTGCTCCTCCACAGAAACATGACTCCTCTTCCTCTCTCTGCGGACACAAAGACATTTCTTTCAAACAAAAGCATTTGATTGATAGAAACAAAACACTGCCAGTGCTGTAAAGATGGTCTGACAGCACAACACTCTGACTGTGTGAAAATCTGATATTTTCACAGAAGGTAAAAGTGTGTGCCCTGCTCATGTCAGTTGAAGTGTCAATAACAGTGGACGGCAGCATAGGACCACCTTCTGGTTCATGGACAGTCGGCACCGGATCAGAGAGCGTCGGAGGCCACCAGAAAGTGATCAAATACACCAGCAGAAACACTTGTATCACTCCTATAGGACAGGTTCAAATCAACCAGTGTTGAGTTCAGAGGATTTTGTAGATTAAGTCTAGTCGACTTAGTGATTAGCTGTGATAGATTAAAACAGCAACAGACGGGACTTCCGAACAAGATGGCGGACGGGTTAGCAGCATAGCTTCCAGCTCCCCCTAGTCGGTAGAAATAAAACCACTCCATTTGAGCAACTCGACATACAACTGACATAAACTTTGAGATGAGTGGTAACCGAAGCCAGAGAAACACTAAAGACCCAAAGAAAACTTGAGAAAGGTCTACAAGAGGTCTCCGACGAAAGTGAACTAGAGAGTGACGCAACGGAGAAAATGGACCACGCCGAAGTACTGAAAGCTGGACTTGCCGGCATCAGTAGCGATATACAGGACCTCAAGCAGGAACTCCAAAACGAGCTGACAACATTCAAAGACGAACTCAAAGGTGAGATGAAACAAGAAATTGTGACCTTAAGACAAGACATAGAGCGAAAGCTTACAGAAAATCACAAAGAACTTCAGGAACAGAAAACTAGCCTAACTGGGGCACAGGCTTGCATAGCCGAGTTGGAGGAGTATGACAGAGTTATGTTTATACAGGAAACTCACCTGTCCCAGACAGAACATGAAAAATTAAAAAAAAAATTTGATTTAGGAACTCATATTATAGTACATATAAACAAGGACGTAGGAGGGGGGTTATGACATTGATCCCAAATTCAACTATATTTATTTGTGAAAAGGAAATCAAAGATAAAGAGGGAAGATATGTGCTAGTGAAGGGAAAACTAGAAAATGAACCTGTTACGTTGATGAATGTTTATGCACCCCCAGAAAGCAGTAAACACTTCTTTAAATCCCTGTTTAATGTTATTAAACAGCAGACATTACAAGAGAAGAGATTATTCAAGCGATAAATTCGCTTAAAAATAATAAATCTCCAGGGAGTGATGGTTACCCTACAGAATGGTACAAGGTTTTTAAGGAAGAGTTGTTGCCAGCACTCCAGGCCTCTTTTAACTGCACACTTAAAGAAAATAAAATACCATTAACGTGGGCAGAAGCAATTATTTCAGTCATTTTAAAACCAGGCAAAGATAAAGACAGATGTGAAAGTTATAGACCGATCTCAATAATAAATATAGATTATAAAATACATACATCCATCATCTCCAAAAGAATAAATAAATTTATAGCAGAATTAATAGATGAAGACCAAACAGGGTTCATACCAGGTCACCAAACACAAGACAGTATTCAAAGAATTTTACAAATAATTGGCCAATCACAAAAAAGGAAACAAAGTACTCTACTGGTTAGTATCGATGCAGAAAAGGCATTTGACTGTGTTAATTGGAAATTTCTCTATCAAGTGCTAGAACGATTTTGATTCAATAAAAAATCTGTACAACTGATTAAAACACTGTATCAAAAACCTTCAGCTAGAATAAACATTAATGGAAATTTGACCGAAAAAATAAAAGATCGACCAGATAAGGATGTTGTTTGTCACCAATTCTCCTCGCGATCTTTATGGAACCTTTGGCTCAAGCAGTTAGACAAACTAAGGAAATTAAAAGGTGTCACAATCAAGGGTGTAGAACATAAAATTGGGCTTTCTGCTGATGACATAATAGCTTTCCTCGAGGAACCAAACATAACGCTCCCTAATCTGATGAAGTTACTAGAACTGTATGGACATCTGTCAGGATATAAAATCAATGTATCTAAAACTTAGATTTTAGCACTCAACTATAACCCATCGAGAGAGATCCAGGAATCATACAAATTGAATTGGAACTTAAAAAACAATTAAATATTTGGGCGTTATGATCACTAAAAACCTATCTGAGCTGTATAGTGCAAATTATAAAAATCTAAAACAAGAAATACAGAAAGATATAACAATTACCACTGGACTTAAACTCAAGAATTGACATAGTTAAACTGAATACTACCCAGATTTTTATACATGTTCCAATCCCTGCCAATAGATGTCCCCCGAGGCCAATTCATAGGATGGGATAGAATGATCTCTAGATTTGTTGGGGGGGGGGACCAAGAGTCAGGTATAAAACTCTTTTCTAAACTCTTTAGAAAGAGGTGGTATGGGTCTTCCAAAACTGATGGAGTATTTCTAGGGAATAACTGCTTGGTGTGTGTTAGAAAACAAAGGGGAGCTGATGATTTTTGAAAATCTCAGAGGAAGATATGAATTAGATGCACACGAAATCTTTAGATACTTTCAAGTAAGGGACTACTATAAAAATGAGATCAAATCGGATTCTTCCAGAGAAGTGAATGATGTCATCTGAATCATAGTTAAAGCATATCAGGAAACTAACATAAGAATAATCTCATCATTATATCAAGGATTGAATACTAACAACAAACATTCGACTAAATACATTAAGGTGAAATGGGAGGAAGAGCTTAATGTGGAAATTCCAGATGAGGAGTGGCATAAAATGTGTAAGATACATCACTCATCCACTAATTCACGATTTTGGAGAGAATTTCCATGGAAGAATCTGACCAGTTTTTTTATTACACAGAAAATGAAAAGTAAGCAGCTGCGCAGCCGTCAGAAATGCTGGCGAGGATGTGGATCTTTTAATGTAGACCACTCTCACATTTTTTGGAATTGTCAAAAAATAATTGTATTTTTGGGAAATGATATGTAGGGAGCTACAGCAAATATTAGGATATAGAGTGCCTAAGACCTGTTTAGTGCTTTATTTATGCAAATTCTCACAAGAGATTGTTATCAACTGTGATGGATACTTGATCAAAATACTGCTGGTGGCGGGCAAGAAAGCCATCACTAGGAACTGGGGAAAGGAAACACCACCAACGAAAGACCAATGGGTAACAATTGTGGAAGAAATCTTTTTAATGGAAAAATTGACACACATTTGGCTACAGGAAGCACAACTGGACCAAAAATGGGAAAAATGGACCCTATACAAAGCTCTAAATGATGATAGTGGACTGGATTAATAACTGATAGATATACCAATCTGTAAAACTGTGAGAATATTATGCTCTCCCCAGGCAGTTATAATATTTTAATTTTAATTATTTTTTTTAATTTTAGTTTTTTTTGTATGTGTTCTGTTATTGTAACAATTTGTCAATAAAGAAAAAAAACAGCAGCAGACTCTGAAATAATCAGAGGAGTCAGAAAAGCCAATCAATGTTTAAATCACAAGACAATTTCCTCTCTATTAACATACCTAGAGAGTAGCCTATATTAGTACATCACCACTATTTCATATTTTATAAATATAGCCAGAGCTCCTCCCCTCCTCCTCCTCCTCCCCCTTGGACTGCTTTTTCCTGGAGTTCCTCCAAGGATGGTGTCTACGAGACTAAGAAACAGTGATTACACAAGTTTGCAATTGATAAGAAAGTTCTGGCCAGGAGGGGATGTCTGGTGGAATAGAAATGGACAGTGATGACCTTTTGACTGATCATGTGTAGGAGCTGTGCTTTCTCTGTTGAGAGAAACAGCGTCACAATTAAATAAGTTAGGTCAGAAATACATTAAAATTGCTTACAAAGAGGAAGTATCAACAGTAGCCTTTGAGCCAGATTTATAGGGTGGCAGACACAGCTGAACTTGGTATCGCCAATTCGAGGAGATGGCAGCAGACCAGAGACAAGACATTTATTTTCTAGAATACAGGATGCTGTCAGTGAGGTTTTTAAAAGCCATTTTTAAGTGTTTCCCACTGCTGTTTGAGATTGTTAGAGCCAATATCTCTCTCTTTCTGCACTCATTCATGTCCCTTTAATGCATGTTACTAACTCCACTTCTTCCCCGGAGTTCTTGTGCTTTCTCGTCTTGCAGGTTCTCATGGATCCTGGTGGAGCCTCCTGCCATGGTCCTGCTTGACTGCCATTGCCAATACTGTTGTTGCTGTGCACCTGTCTGTCTGTCTGTCGCTCTCTCTCTCTCTCTCTCTCTCTCTCTCTCTCTCTCTCTCTCTCACCCCAACTGGTCGAGACAGACGACCACCCACCTAGAGCCGGAGGATCTGTCCTAGGTTTCTGCCTTTTAACAGGCAGTTTTTCCTTGCCCTTGTCGCCAAGTGCTTGCTCATGGTGGTACTGTTGGGTCTCTGTAATTAATGTTAAAGAGTTCGGTCTAGACCTGCTCTATTTGAAAAGTGTCCTGAGATAACTTCTGTTATGAATTGGCGCTATACAAATAAAATTGAATTGAATTGAATTGAATATGAGTTAAGACTTTAGATGCAACAGAATGATTGTGAATGAGTTTATGAGAGATACCTGGACTCTAGGGTAGGTTTACTATGATAGGGAGGGGGCTGATCCATGTTGCGCTCTACAAGTTGAACCAAAACCATGGTTGATGGATCCCAGCTGACAGGCTGGGCCTTGGTTTCCTCAATGAGGGCAGAGGCTGAGCTGGTGCTTGCAGGGTTTGTGTGGCAACCTGATGTGGCCTTGAAAGTGGAAGAGATGTGGTGAACATGAGGGGCGGTAGCACTCAGCCAAGGGTGGGAATTGGGACATGTCAAGGACAGTAAACCTGTTTGACGTCTGGAGAACCTCCGTTGTAGCAAGGTGGACGATGTCCACTGGATCTGCCTTTATAGACCAAGGACCAGGATCTTGATGGAGTAGACTGGAACATTGGGTTTTCCCCCCAGTCATACCAAGGCATCAACAGGTTGTGCAGGTGGAGGCACTGGGCATGGTATGGCAGGGGTTGCTTTTGCCTTGTCTGAGGCAGAGTGGAGCATGGCACGGTCGAGTTGAGCTTTCCCCCAGTGATGGTGAAAAATCCCAGTTCAACCCACAGTGATCACAGAGTCAATTAACTGTTCATCACCAGCAAGCAGAGAGAATGGAGTATGTCTTGAGATTTAGATTGCAAGGGCTCCACAACGGGAGGAATTGAATAGTTTTCTCTGGACCCCTCCCCAATGTGACCAGTGATGACATGTATAGCCGCATGTCGTCATTCCACCGCTGGCTGTCGAGGTGGTGTCCAGCAAACGATGTGGGCTTCATTGATAACTGGAAGCCTTTTTGGGGAAAACCTGGTCTGATTAGGAGAGACGGCATCCATCCCACTTTGGATGGAGCGGCTCTCTTATCTAGAAATATGGCGAAATTTATTTCTAAAACCTGACAGTCGAGAGTTGGGACCAGGAAGCAGAGCTGCTGTCTTACACACTTCTCTGCGCTTTCTTTAGAACAGTCACCAACCCAAAACCCCCGACCACCTAAATTATTTAAAGAAATAAAAACAAGAGGAGTTCAACATAAAAATCTAATAAAAATTAAAACTAACTCCTCAGTAGCACAAAATAAGAGAATGAAATGTGGACTGTTAAATATCAGGTCTCTGTCCTCTAAAGCTGTTTTAGTGAATGAATTAATATCAGATTATGATATTGATTTACTTTGTCTTACTGAGACCTGGTTGTCCCACGAGGAGTATGTTAGCCTAAATGAATCCACCCCCCCAGTCATATTAATACTAACATTCCTCGAGGCACTGGCCGAGGAGGTGGAGTAGCAGCCATATATGATTCGAGCGTTTTAATGGACCCTAAACCTAAACTAAATTATAATTCATTTGAAAGCCTTGTTCTTAGTCTTACTCACCCAAACTGGAAAACACTGCAGCCAGTTCTATTTGTTATAGTGTACCGCGCTCCTGGACCGTACTCTGATTTTATATCTGAATTCTCAGAGTTTTTATCAAGTTTAGTCCTTAAATCAGATAAAGTAATTATTGTAGGTGATTTTAATATTCATGTGGATGTTAACAATGACAGCCTTAGTAACGCATTTATATCATTAATAGACTCAATTGGCTTCTGTCAGTGTAAATAAACCAACTCATTGTTTTAATCACACTCTTGACCTTGTTCTATCATATGGCATTGATATTGAACATTTAATAGTCTTCCCACATAATCCTTTCCTATCTGACCATTATTTGATAACTTTTGAATTCATACTATTAGATTATAAGCCATTAGGCAAAACTTCCTACAGCAGATGTCTATCTGACAGTGCTGTAGTTAAATTTAAGGAGGAGATTCCTTCAGTGTTTAATTCAATGCCATGTCTGAATTTAACAGAATCCTATAACGACTTTAGTCCCTCTGAAATTGATAATCTTGTTGATAGTGCTGCAGGCTCACTACGATCAACATTAGACTCTATCGCTCCTATAAAAAGGAAATTATTAAAACATAGGAGACTAGCACCGTGGTACAACCACCAAACCCGCCAGTTAAAACAAATAGCTAGGAAATCTGAAAGGAAATGGCGCTCTTCCAAATTATCAGAATATCGCTCAAATTGGCAAGATAATCTTAAAACTTATAGAAAGGCCCTCCGTAATGCCAGAGGAGCCTATTACTCAGCACTAATAGAAGAAAATAAGAATAACCCTAGGTTCCTCTTCAGCACTGTAGCCAGGCTGACAGAGAGTCACAGCTCTATTGAGCCACATATCCCCATAAACTTAAGTAGCAATGACTTCATGAGCTTCTTCTATAATAAAATTATTACTATTAGAGAGAAAATGAATCACCAACTGCCATCAACAGTTATCAGTGGCTCTCCAAGTTCAGGGACTTTTTCTAATGTAAACTTAGATATATATTTAGACTGTTTTTCTGCTATCGATCTTCATCAGTTAACTTCAATAATTTCTTCATCGAAGCCATCAACCTGTCTATTAGACCCGATCCCAACTAGGCTGCTTAAAGAAGTTGTTCCCTTAATTGGCACTTCTTTACTGGATATGATTAATCTTTCTTTATTATCAGGATATGTACCACAGTCCTTTAAAGTAGCTGTAATTAAACCCCTTCTTAAAAAGCCCACTCTTGACCCAGGGGTTTTAGCCAACTATAGACCGATTTCTAACCTCCCCTTCCTCTCTAAGATTCTGGAGAAAGTAGTCGCCAAACAGTTGTGTGACTTTCTACATAACAATAGTTTATTTGAGGACTTTCAATCAGGATTTAGAGTTCATCACAGCACAGAGACAGCTCTGGTTAAAGTTAATAATGACCTTCTGATTGCTTCTGACAATGGACTTGTCTCTGTACTTGTATTATTAGATCTTAGTGCTGCATTTGACACCATTGACCATAATATTCTTTTACAGAGACTTGAGCATCAAATTGGCATTAAAGGAACCGCACTAAGCTGGTTTAAGTCATATTTATCAGATCGTTCACAGTTTGTACATGTTAACGATGAATCATCAATAAATACTACAGTTAGTCATGGAGTTCCACAAGGTTCTGTACTTGGACCAATACTATTTACTTTATATATGCTCCCTTTAGGCAACATTATTAGGAATCACTCCATTAACTTTCACTGTTATGCAGATGATACGCAGTTATATCTATCAATCAAGCCCAATGAAATTAATCAATTATCTAAATTACAAACATGTCTTAAGGACATAAAATCCTGGATGACCTGCAATTTTCTGATGTTAAACTCAGAAAAAACCGAAATTCTTGTTCTTGGCCCCAAAAACCTTAGAGACTCACTGTCTAAAGATATAGTTACTCTAGATGGCATTACCTTGGCCTCTAGCACCACTGTCAGGAATCTTGGAGTTATCTTTGATCAGGATTTATCATTTAACTCCCACATAAAGCAGATCTCTAGGACTGCCTTCTTTCATTAACGTAATATTAGAAAAATTAGACACATACTATCACAGACAGATGCAGAAAAACTAATCCATGCATTTGTTACTTCAAGGCTGGATTACTGCAACTCTTTATTATCAGGTTGCCCCAATAAGTCCATTAAAACGCTCCAATTAATTCAGAACGCTGCAGCACGAGTACTGACAGGAACTAGAAAAAGAGATCACATCTCTCCTGTACTAGCTTCTCTGCATTGGCTCCCTGTAAAATGTAGAATAGAATTTAAAATCCTCCTCCTCACCTATAAAGCTCTTCATGGTCAGGCCCCTTCATATCTTAAAGAGCTCATAGTACCCTATTACCCCACTAGAACACTACGTTCTCTGAATGCTGGGCTACTTGTGGTTCCTATAGTCTCTAAAAGTAGAACAGGAGCCAGAGCCTTCAGTTACCAAGCTCCTCTCCTGTGGAACCAGCTTCCAGTTGTGGTTCGGGAGGCAGACACCCTCTCCACATTCAAGAGTAGGCTTAAGACATTCCTCTTTGATAAAGCTTATAGTTAGGGCTGGATCAGGTGAGTCCTGAACCATCCCTTAGTTATGCTGCTATAGGCCTAGACTATCGGGGGATTTCCCATGGTGCACTGAGCTCCTCCCTTCCTCTCTCTTTCTGCACTCATTCATGTTCCATTAATGCATGTTACTAACTTCACTTCTTCCCCAGAGTTCTTGTGCTTTCTCATCTCGCAGGTTCTTGTCGATCCTGGTGGAGCCTCCTGCCATGGTCCTGCTAGATTGCCATTGCCAATACTGTTGCTGTCTGTCTGTCTCTGTCTCTCTCTCTCTCACTCTCACCCCAACTGGTCGAGACAGACGACCACCCACCTAGAGCCGAAGGATCTGTCCTAGGTTTCTGCCTTTTAACAGGCAGTTTTTCCTTGCCCTTGTCGCCAAGTGGTTGTTCATGGTGGTACTGTTGGGTCTCTGTAATTAATGTTTAAAAGAGTTCGGTCTAGACCTGCTCTATTTGAAAAGTGTCCTGAGATAACTTCTGTTATGAATTGGCGCTATACAAATAAAATTGAATTGAAATTGAATTGAATTAAAACGGGTAACAATTTGTAAAACTGAGCTCCTGTCAGACATAAACCACACAGACTCATGTGTGCTCGATGAAATTCACACTCTGCTCATGACTGTGAGAGACTGTGAGAGACTGACAGTAAATGTGAGCAGAGGAAAACAAGAGAAGTGAAGCTGTCAATCTGGTAAATGTACAGTGTAGGTTACAGTGTTGTTTATGGGAGAAGCCACATTCTGCCGGCTCCATTGGACTGTGACCTCCTGATTGTACTGGGACAGCTGTGACCAAATGTGAAGCAGCAGAGATGAGAGTCAGCACCTCCAAGACTGAGTTCTATATACATCTATATACTTTGTGCATATTTTTCCTCCTCAGTCAATCACTGGCTATCAGGTCAGTTTAGAGCAGGGGTCAACAACCTTTGCTATCAAAGGAGCCATTTTTAGAAAACTATGCCAGGAGCTTTAAAAAAACATATTGAGCCACAGGCTACCTACCCCTGGTTTAACAGTAGGTTTAGATTCTCTTACTGTGTGTCTGAGGGTCCAAGTTCATTACTGAAGTATGGAGGAGACTCCTTGGACCAATCACTCTTCATAGACACACAGCTGGACACTGGAGACTCTGCTCTTCTTCTGTGGAATAACAAATATTTGCTACGTCAGCATTTTCAACTTTTTACCTGGTTTTGAATTTTTGATGTCTGTCAGTTAAAAACAGTGTTCACAAACTGAGTGATGTCGTGAATGTCACTGAACGCAGAAACTCTCCCGGATAATGTAATCATGTGTATATGTATGTTCTGACCACCAACTATTTTTTACATCTCTGACAAATCAGGTATTGGGTGTAATTTCGGCCGACAGGTACCCATGATCCTCATGGGTATTGCTGTTGTCGACTGGGTATTCTTTTGTACTGAGGATTTAACAGTGAGCTTCTTGTCCACCTTGACTTGAAGATAAAAATGAGTCATGTGACATTGTCATGGGAAAAAGAAACGGGGAAGGTCCTGTGTGTGACATTGAGGATCTGTTGTCAGAAATTGAACATAATCATAGTCACATAAAAGTCTGACATGCAGAATGTTTTTATGTATATCAGGCAGACAGTGAACATTTGGTCCTCAGAGCTGATGTGTTAGTGCTGGTTCTGATAGAAAGGGGTCAGAACACACAGTGCAGAGCAGTCTGTTGGCCTGGGACCAGTCAGGGAGTCCAGTGCTTATATGCTTATGTATATACACATATACATATACATATATATAAATATATACACAGATAGACAGATACATAGACTCACAGACGGACAATACAACTCTTCTCATAAAGATGAATATCTATCAATTCTCTATTTGTACTCAAAGGAAGTCAGTTCTCTTACTTTGTGTCTGAGGGTCCAGGTTCAGTACTGAAGTATGGAGGAGACTCTTTGGACCAATCACTCTTCATAGATACACAGCTGGATACTGGAGACTCTGCTCTCTGTCTGTGGCACTGAACTCTGAAAATGAAGATATGTTGATTCATTTCAAGATAAACAGTAGTTTCTGTCCTGTTGTTGAGCCTTGCATCTTCAATGTGTGATGACATTATTTCACTGAAGGTGACGCAATGTGGCACAAAGTTCAAAAAGTCCCATTCATATTCAATGGCACAGTGTGCATTGCTTTGTAAGGATTGCCGACAGAGGATCGAGCAGTGATCGAGTGACTTTTCTCATTTCTCGGAGCCTCTCTTTTAGGTTCCTGTCCGCCACGATCACAGATACAAAAACAAAGTGCTCCTCGGAACTAGAGTTCTTCAGATGCCAATACCAGCTTGGGAAATTTCAGATTTCAACAAGTAGATTCAGTGAGATCGGTCTCTTACTTTGTGTCTAAGGGTCCAGGTTCATCACTGCAGTCTGGAGGTCTGTCTTTAGACGGGTCACATCTGGATCCTGGAAACTCTGGTCTGTCCTGTTTCTGCATATCACTCATCTTCAGTCAGTCTGTGGGGTGAACCAGGAACACCAGAGACACAGTGGACATCAGAGGAAGGTTAGAGTCACTTAGACAAAATAGTAGAGACTGTATCTAAAATGACTTTCACTCCCTCCTGTTTCTGTCTTGGATTTATAAAGTTCATGAACATGTTGGAGATGATTATGAGGCGGCAGCTCATCTCTCTGAAGAAACTAAACGATCCAGGTTTTAATCTGAAAGCTTCAACTGAACATCACCCCCCTTGAAGCTCCTAGACTGTTGAATGGAAGACATTTAACTGTTTTTACATTAATGTACATTATTGGGCTGCTGCTGTTTTATGGAATTATTATTGTGTTTGTCTCTTTATTATTGTTTCTTTTAATGAACGAACAAGTGGCTCAAAGACTACTGACAACCAAGTTTCTGCTTCTGGGAGTTTGAGAGCTGCTACAGAGTCAAGGTGAAACCAGATTTTCCAGGTTTTGTATATTTGTCCGGACAAATTTATATTTCTTGGATGGATTATTCATAATACAACTACAACCGTGGCATTAATCTGATCTGTGGAATGTTGAACATACAGATTTTCATGAATATTGATTATTTATTTAAGGCTACTACACATTTACTAAAGAATTAAGAGGACTACATTAAAAGGAAGAATGAAAAAATTGCTATTTGAAGGCATGATATTTCGGTTTTGTAGCAGTAAAGAGTGCATTGGAAGAAGTAATAAAAATAATAAGCAAAACAATATATAATAATAGCACTGACCTCTGTCCTGTATCTACAGCACTGACCTCTGTCCTGTACCTGTCCTCTGTAACTTAGTATTATTGTCAGATGGACTAACTGAAATCAATAAAGCTGCTGTGCCTCGTGTGTAAAAGCGTACAGCCTCTCTCTTAATGGGGAGAAACTTCCCCTAATCCAGCCTCAATCCATCCGCTATTAATCACAGTGTTATCTTATATTATATTATATTATATTATATTATATACACTACCAGTCAAAAGTTTGGACACACCTTCTCATTTGATGATTTTTCTTTATTTTCATGACTATTTACCTTGTAGATTCTCACTGAAGGCATCAAAACTATGAATGAACACATATGGAATTATGTAGTAAACAAAAAAGTGTGAAATAACTCTAAATATGTTTCATATTTTAGATTCCTCAAAGTAGCCACCCTTTGCTTTGTTGACAGCGCTGCAAACCCTTGGCCTTCTCTCAATGAGCTTCATGAGGTAGTCACCTGAAATGGTTTTCACTTCAGAGGTGTGCCTTGTCAGGGTTCATTTGTGGAATTTCTTGCCTTCTTAATGGGGTTGGGACCATCAGTTGTGTTGTGCAGAAGTCAGGTTGGTACACAGCTGACAGCCCTATTTGATAAATGTTAGAATTCATATTATGGCAAGAACCAATCAGCTAAGTAAAGAGAAATGACAGTCCATCATTACTTTGAGAACTGAAGGTCAGTCAGTCCGGAAACTTGCAAAAACTTTGAATGTGTCCCCAAGTGCAGTCGCAAAAACCATCAAGCGCTACAACGAAACTGGCTCAAAGGAAGACCAAGAGTCACCTCTGCTGCTGAGGATAAGTTCATCCGAGTCACCAGCCTCAGAAATCACAAGTTAACAGCACCTCAGATTAGAGCCCAGAATAATGCCACACAGAGTTCTAGTAGCAGACACATCTCTACATCAACTCTTCAGAGGAGACTGCGCGAAGCAGGCCTTTATGGTCAAAGAGCTGCTAAAAAAACACTACTAAGGAAAAGCAACAAGCAGAAGAGATTTGTTTGGGCCACAAAACACAAGGAATGGACATTAGACCAGTGGAAATCTGTGCTTTGGTCTGATGAGTCCAAATTTGAGATTGAGATTGGTTCCACCCACCGTGTCTTTGTGCAACGCAGAAAAGGTGAACGGATGGTCTCTACATGCATGGTTCCCACCGTGAAGCATAGAGGAGGAGGTGTGATGGTGTGGGGGTGCTTTGCTGGTGACACTGTTGGGGATTTATTCAAAACTGAAGGCACACTGAACCAGCATGGCTACCACAGCATCCTGCAGCATCATGCCATCCCATCCGGTTTGCGTTTAGTTGGACCATCATTTATTTTTCAACAGGACAATGACCCCAAACACACCTCCAGGCTGTGTAAGGGCTATTTGACCAAGAAGGAGAGTGATGGAGTGCTGCGCCAGATGATCTGGCCTCCACAGTCACCTGACCTAAACCCAATCGAGATGGTTTGGGATGAGATGGACTGCAGAGGGAAGGCAAAAGGGCCAACAAGTGCTCAGCATCTCTGGGAACTCCTTCAAGACTGTTGGAAAACCATTTCAGGTGACTACCTCATGAAGCTCATCGAGAGAATGCCAAGAGTGTGCAAAGCAGTAATCAAAGCAAAGGGAATCTAAAATCTAAAACATGTTTTGAGTTATTTCACACTTTTTAGTTTACTACATAATTCCATATGTGTTCATTCAGAGTTTTGATGCCTTCAGTGAGAATCTACAATGTCAATAGTCATGAAAATAAAGACAAACCACTAAATGAGAAGGTGTGTCCAAACTTTGGACTGCTAGTGTGAATAAATAACCAGCCCATCAGATCGACCTCAGTGCTGCAGATGAACCGCGAGCCGCTCATCAACCACTCGGCTGTCGCTTCACGTGACGCTGCAGAGGAAAGGACATCTCAGTTCTCTAATGACGCGTTCCCTCTTTCCCTCTTTCTTTTTTTTCTTCCTTTCGTTTCCGACGCAAGTGACGGAAAGGTGGATGTTATTAAGCGACATGGGACACCGCCCTGGTCTGTCACTGTGACTCAGCAGTTCCATTAAAGGTTTGAATCCTCTCATGTCCTCAACTGTGAGATCACTGAGGAAGTTTCCTCTTTGATTTAATAATGTTCAAACTATAATGAGAACGCTTTTAATCTTCAGTAAAGTGACGTCAAAGACACACAGCTGAACACTCACCTGTTGTCTAATTTCTGCTGTCTGACCGGAGTCACGTCTTCTTCTTCTTCTTCTTCTAGGATTTCGGCAGTGTAGACGCTGTTAAGCGTATTACTGCCCTCCACAGGTCAGATTTAGAACTAAATTCTCACATACAATCCTGTATCATGCAGAAACTGCAGAACTGCATTGGAGATCAATTTGTATTTCTCACTGTGTCCAAACAAAGATACAACAGAAAAAGCCTCAACTCCAAGTCCTGTCAATCTAACAAAGAATACCTTTCTCTCTTCCCTATACTTTCTACATTCCAGGAAAACATGCCTTACTGTTTCAACGATCCCACACTCACACAATCCAGAAACATGTTTTCCTACAATGCACAAAGAATCATTTAACCCACAATGACCCAACCTCCATCTACAGAGTTTCACTGAATCCCTACGAGACAGAGAATCACATAAACTTATTTTCCTAACTTTAGGATGTATAGAAAAGAAGTGTCTACCCCTGGCTTCCCTTTGCCACCCTCTCTGCCATTCTTTCAGCCCGCTTTGATTATTTCTCTTAATTCCACTCTCCCCATGGATAAATGGACATCTACTTCTCTGCTTAAGCTTTCCTTTGCGATGTGGTCCACCTGCTCATTCCCCCTAACCCCAGCGTGCCCTGGAACCCAGCAAAAAGTAACGCTGCAAGCAAACCACATTCTAAAAACCACATTCAAAATGTCATTCATAATGTCAGGACGAGCTGTAGTTTTTCCTGCTCTTAAAGTTTCTAGTGCAGCTGCAGAATCAGAGCAGATAGTGACTTCTTTAGGTCTGGCTTCCTCAATCCACCATAAAGCCCATAGAACTGCCATTAACTCAGTAGTGAAAACAGAGCTTCCATTAGAAATACATCGACCAATCTTCAACCCAATCTGCTCCACATACACCCCAAAACCAGCTCTCCCACTAACTGGATCTCTAGATCCATCTGTAAAAATAATTAAAGTACTCTCACTGATTGAACTAAGATGTTCCACTATTCTTGGAGTCACTTTCCTCTTATCTTTTTCTTGAAGAAAAGAAAGCTCAATGTTCAATTCAGGCATCACCCAATAGGGCATAGGTAGCCATCTTGTGTGCTCTACATTACCTCCCTGTTCCAAGCCCAGCTTCTTAGCCCACTGGTTTACAGTGACAAAAAAAATATTATATTTATTACCTACAATCTCTTGTAACAGACACCTTGCTGGAAAAGTATGACTACACCCTCTAAGTTTAACCCAGTACTGTAACCCTAACTTAATGCGCCTTAACCATAAGGGCATTTCTCCCATTTCAACAAGCAGGGCAGGGACTGGGGAAGTTCTAAAGGCCCCACAACAAAGCCTCAATGCCTTTGCATGCACCACATCTAACTTAGCCAGAACAGTTTTAGAAGCAGATCCATACACAAAACTCCCATAGTCAAGAGCAGATCTGATCAAGGCCTGAAAAATTAACAACATCGTCTCCCTCTCAGCCCCCCACTCACACCCACCCAGACTTCTCATAACATTCAGAACTTTTCCACATTTCATTACAATTTTATCTACATGCACAGCCCAAGTCATATGCTCTTCAAACCATACACCCAAAAATTTAAAAACCTTTACCTTCTCCAATAAAGACCCATACATATACAGCCCTATATTAGGTAACTTTCTTTTAAAACCAAATACAACATATTTAGTCTTAGATGCAGAAATTTTGAAGCCCCATGTGTTCCCCCATTCCTCTATAGACAATAATACTCTTTGAATCTGTTTTAAAACAAACTCTACATTACACCCTCTTTTCCAGATGGCCCCATCATCTTCAAATAGAGACAACCCAAATCCTCTCTCTATTTTGCCAAAGATATCATTTATCATTATATTAAATAAAACTGGACTGATAACACTTCCTTGCGGGGTTCCGCTCTCTATTTCTACAGTCTTTGAACAGACACTACCAACCATTACTTGTATTGTTCTTTTCATTAAAAAATCCTTAATCCAATTAAACATTCGTCCCCTTACTCCCAAGTCAAAGATTTTAATCATTAATCCCTCCTTCCACAAAGAATCATATGCCTTCTCAATATCCAGGAATACACTCAATACTATTTCCTTATTGCTAAATGCCCTTTTGATATCCTGATCCAAAACTAACACTGATTCCATTGTCGACCTTCCCTTCCTAAAGCCATTCTGGACATCAACAAAGAGTCCTCTAGTTTCTATGAAGCACACTAGTCTGTTGGTTACCATCTTCTCCATTACTTTACAAAGCACTGCTGGGAGCGCTATAGGGCGGTATGAACTAGGGTCAGATGGATCTTTGCCTGGCTTCAAAAAAGGGACCACAACTGCATGTTTCCATACCTTGGACAAATAACCCTCTGCCCACACCATATTAAACAAAGCTAATATTTCATCAAGTACAATATCATCCAGATGTTTAAAAAACTCATAAGACAACCTATCTCTCCCCGGGGTAGTATTTACCCCAGACATAATTGCATCCTTCAACTCTTTTATAGTAAAAAACAGATTTATAGGATTATTATTTTCTAAACTCCTTTCCAACTTCCACTGATTAACTGCCATCAGCTCAGTTCTCTTCCTACACCTCTCAGCCCCCATTCTCTCTGATCTATGCACTGCTTGAAAACTATCAACAAACATGTCTGCTTTTTCCTTATTGGAAACTGCTACTGTCTCACCCTTCTGTAACACTGGTATCAATCTTCTTTTATATACCCCTGACATTCTACGTATTGCAGACCACAAATGCCTTACAGGAGTCTCAGGGCCTAGCGTACCACAAAACTTCCTCCAACTATTCCTCTTTGCATCCTTTATAACTCTTCTTGCTACTGCCCTTAGCCGCTTGTACTCCATTACATTAACCAACATTGGAAACTTTCTTAGTCTTCTATATGCTCTATTCCTACTCCTTACAGCTTGATCACATTCCTTATTCCACCAAGGAACCAGCATACGAGTCCTAGGTTCCTGCTTCAGAGGAATGGTACTGCAAGCGGCCTCATGTATCATGAGACTAATGGATGTATTCCAATTATCTACAGTACCCTCACTATCAATCTCTCCTACTAAGCTCTGAACCCTCTCCTGAAATGTATCCCATTTAGCCTGAGAAAAGTTATATATAGGCGGTTTCTTTTCCACTTCTCTCCTCAAATCCCTACCAAATCTGCATAAAATAGGATAATGATCACTACCCAATGTATACAAATCTATAACATCCCATTCACCAACTCTAGCTAAGTTTGACGAAGCAATTAACAAATCTATATGACTGCAGGTATTTCTGACAATATGATACCTAGTTGGCCTTCCATCATTTAACACTACTAACTCATATATATCTATAAATTCTTCTACAGTAACACCATTTTTATCCCTATGATCACTACCCCATAAAGGATTATGTGCATTAAAATCTCCAATCCATATAACAGGACACCTTACCTTCTCCATTATCTCATCAAAATCTGACAATACCAAAGGTTGACAAGGGTTATAATAATTTACCACAGTAATAGAATTTTGACTGCTCCAAATCTCCACAGCCAAACACTCAAGATTGGAATTAATATCAATTCTCCTATACTGCAGCCCAATCTTAACAAAAGTTGCACAACCCCCACCTGATCTATCAGACCTATCTACTCTCAAACATTCATACCCTGGGATTACAAAATCTAGAGAAGGCTTTAACCAAGTCTCTTGAATACATATCAATTCTGGAGCTTCTTTAAATTCATCAACAAACCTTTTTAACTCCTGACCATTTCCTATTAGACTCCGGGCGTTCCATTGAAGAATATGCCACATTAAGATACTAATGAGGATCTACCTCATCCACTTCACCAACATCCTCCATACTGCTAACCCTCACAAACTGTGACCTATCCATAGGTTGACTCTCCTTCATGTATTGATGTAGCTCTTCTGGCAACTGCGTTATACCGAGGAACCTTTCAGCTGCCCCCACCACTAACCTGATAATATCTGAGCGGTTAGCTGCTTTCTTAGCTCCTACCAACACATCAGACACAAAAGACAGAAATGACTCCTTTGTAAGATTCAACATATCAGGATGAAGGTCCGACTGCAAGTTTGGAGCATTGAACTGGCATCCTGACACTGTAGTACCAGATCTCCCATTTCCACATTCTCTATCCACTGTTTGAACTGCCTCTGCATACAACACCTTGTTCAGCTCCCTCACATCCTGCACCCGCTTAGCCTGAACAAATCGCTCACACCCGTGAAACCCTGCCCCATGATCCCCCTCACAGTTAGGGCACTTAGGAGCCTCTGCCTTGCAACTCTGTATTATACGATCTCCACCGCACTTTGCACACCTTCTTTTACCCCGACAAGCCCCAGCAACATGTCCAAACTTCTGACAGTTACAGCAGCGCAACGGTGGTTTAATGTACTCTCTCACATAATACGCCATACTCCCAAGAAACACTCTCTGTGGCAGTACACTATCTTTAAACGTCAACAGGACCGACGGATCCCCTGCTCCATCCACACGCTTAAATCTGATCACATCACTTACCTGGGCCCCCTTAATGTTTTCTAAGATTTCCTTCTCAGATAAGCCAGCAAACACTCCATACACCACTGCCTTGATTCCTTGCTGGCTTCCTCTAGGGATCAATGCCTCCACCTTGACCACCAGCTTTCCCACACCTCTAGCATCATTATACTGTTTCCTGTTTTTACAACAAACTCTTAACGTTCCATTAAACAAGATCTTGGCCTGAAATTCTTTGCCTATCTGACTCTCTAAAGCACTGGTAACTTTTAATGGATTCACTGCTCTAAATCCTGCATCTCCTTGATTAGTTCCCTTAACTTTAAACAGCACGACAAACTCTTCAGTATTTCCAGTTTTCCTAACCTTATTTCCTTCATCTCCTGACATTTCAGGTCTTTCACTCGATGCCCCCCTCTTAGAGCCCCCCCTTTTCCTTCACCACCGTCTGCCACCCACCACCCTCATCCCCCTTCCCTGAAGCCATGAGCCTCTTAAACCCCTCCTTCCCAACCCTAATCTAATTCTAAT